GTGATGGTGGGCCGGAACCTTGGGGGCCAACGGACATTCCGAAGACTCGCCACAAAGGCTCTACAGCCAACACCACCGGCCGGGGGCACGGAGGGCTGATCCTCACGTCCATGTCGAGGTGACACTCTGGACGAAGAGGCGCCCTCCGTTGCGCGGGGAGTACGCCGGTTATTACGCCGGCGCTCGATGTCGATGCGGGCATCCGGCTCTCCACGCTGATCCTCCCGAGTTGGAGGTGTCGACGAGGGAGTGGCGGCCGAATGGCGCGCAGCAGCCGCCGCTCGCCGTGCCCTCCGCCTTGACGACACGGAGCCGGTGGTAGCGGCGCCGGAGGTCTTGGTGGTGGCGGACCGTCCACCAGCACCCAGGCGCTGCTGTGCCGTCATGACCAAGTTGGCCACGTCTTCCAGCCATCGTTGGGCTGGAGACTCCGGGTCATGGACGACAGGCGGGTGTCGTAGGAGCGCGCCAGCAGCCTGAAGCGCACCCTGAGGCGTGCTGCCGTCGCCGTAGACGAGGAGGCGACGCTCCCCATCTCGCCGTTCTCCTGCATCACCTGCGACTGGTGATGCCACGGATTTGTCGACCCTCTCAAGCGCCTCCCCCTGCTTTGGGCTTTGGCGCGGAGGAGGTGGGGGAGTACGAGCTCGACGGCGTGGATTCGGCTCCCCGTCGTCGCCGCTCACACTCGGAGAGAGGTCGTGCGCTTTTCCTTGCTCGGCCATTAGGCTGAACAAGAAAAACTTGGCGCACACGGAAGAGTCTGAGAGCTCAGAAAACACACACTGAGTCCCCTACCTGGCGCGCCAGATGACGGAGCTCGTAGCTCCTCACCGGGAGACCGCGCAGGCCCCCCTTTGCCAGTTCGGCCGGGGGCTTAGGGTGAAATCTCAAGCTCTCTCGGTGTGTGGAAAGATCATCTGCCCGCAAGAAAACGCGAGACACCGGCGATGTATACAGGTTCGGGCCGCTGAGAAGCGTAATACCCTACTCCTGTGTTTTGGTGTATCTGTGGATGAAAGAGCTACAAAGTGTGAGCCGGCTTCCCCCCCCGTTCTAGGCTCTCAATCCGGAAAAGAATCAACCAACCCCCCACTCTAAGGGCAAGGTCCTCCTTTTATACTTCAAGGGGATACCACATGCACCCTTCTCTTTCCAAACTGGACTGTTCTTTTTCTCTTTAATGGGCGGAGATCGGTATGGCTTCCATCCGGGAGCCCTTCTGATGGGACAGCCCACACCTACCTCCACTCCCGGCGGAGACAGGCGCAACGTGGGATCGTGGCTGCCCGTTGCTGATGCGACCAGTGTCAGACCGGTCATTCTTGTCCACCACGTGTCAGTTTAACAACGTGCATGTTTGCCCTTCTTCGTGTAACACCTTGCCTGTAATGGTTAGGATGAAGCCTGGTATAAATCTGACCAGGGCTAACGTGCCATCTTTTAAGAGATAACACGCTAGCTCCGGCTTGAGACGAGTGCCTAGAGGCTTTCGTCTTGACGGGATGGGGCAAGGCGTGCGTCAGACCGCCAGTCGCCACCTAACCCGTGATCTGACCGGTCTGTGACTGGTCACAGACCGGATAAAGGAATGCGCTGTGCTGCGTTGCATGCAGCGTGACACGCTTGACCAGACTGCAATAAATGCTGTTAGGTGAGCACAGCTGTGCTCACTTATCCCATATATGTGGCGCAGACTTCCTTAAGGGGTCGGGGTGCCTCGGCCCTCGGGGCCGGGGCAAGCGCAACCCGACCCCCCCTCGGGGGAAATCAAGAGGAGGGCGGACACCTCACCCTCGGGCCCGACGCCCCCGAAGGTGCCAGGCCACGTGGGCGATTATGTCTGCCTCAAGCCTCTGGTCATGATACTCCCGGTCCCATATCACCGACACCGTGGACAACGAGACGCCCGTAGCGACTTCATCAATCTCAAAATATACTGACCTAGTCATCCGGAGGTGCTCATAAGAGTAGGGTGTGTGGTGCTCATATGGATAGGATATGCATATATGGGTTTAGGGGTGAAAACGGCCACAGAAATTCCCGATCGACTTAGCGCCGTTTCCGTATAAGTGGTACGGGCTCATAAGAGTAGGGTGTGTGGTGCTCATATGGATAGGATATGGATATATGGGTTTAGGGGTGAAAACGGCCACAGAAATTTCCGATCGACCGAGCGCCGTTTCCGTATAAGTGGTACCGTTTCCGACCATACCATTTTTGGGTTTTTTTAATTTTTTTTATCACAATTCTTTATGCATTATATTAATGTCGATACTGAGTAGTTTAAATGATAAATATAGTCATTTACCGACTAACCAAACATCGTTTCTGAAGAGATGCTACCGATTCCGATAGTTTCTGACCGTTTTCACCCCTATATGGGTTCATATTGATAAGTATGTGCGTGTTGCGATCGTCTGTATATGTACCGTGTTTCTAGAAAAAAATATGTAGCTAATTTTATTTATGTATCTAGATCCTAATTTTAGCCATATTTTGGTATTGAGGGATCAAGTAAATCACGTTCTAAATTCAACAATACAAATTTTTGTTTGTCAATATTCGATAATTTAAAAAGTTGCATTCAAGAACAAAGCATTGCTCATATTTTCGGCTACTTATTCTTTTTGGTGGTGGACGATGTCCTGGTCAACAACAAAAGACGTTTGTGGTAATTAACTTCATCAACCTGAAGACATGTCGATGTCGTTTTCGGATGTGCTAGTACGGGTAAGGTGTGCATCTGTGTTGATAGGAGTTGAGCGTACATGCATAAAATTTGTAATATGAGCGCTTGCATATGTACTATGTTTTGAGAAAAAAAATCCCCGTCATGCAAACAATCAATTGGTAATGCTCCTTGTGGTGAAATTTGGCCACCTGCTAGTTCTTAAACTTGCCACGAGTACCTGCATTAACGGTTAATTAATTTTAGTGCTAGGCGCCTGTATCAATGTCAACAATCTCAAATATGCTCGTTCAGTCTTCAAATTGTTCAAAGAAGTAGGGTATGCATGCATTGTGCTCACTGCTCAGCTTTTGAAGGTATCCATGGGACATGGTGTATCCGTGTATGTGTGTGTTTATACAGTAAACTAGGTGAAACCCCGTGCATTACTGTAAGAGTTTAGTATGATAGTAATAAGTGGAAATAATGTGTAAGATAGGTAGACAACATGAGCTTACATAAATTGATATGATTTATGATAATTTAAGTAGTATATAGAATGATGATAAGGTGATGTGCCTTTATAAGAGAAGAAAAGAAGATCAGGTAATTTGGACCATAGCTTAATCATCTATGGGATAAAAAATGGGATGATATGGTCTAATGAGAGAAGAAAATGAGAAAATAACTTGGTCCATAAATTAATGATCTAATTTGATGTGATATGCCTTAATGAGATAAGAAAGTAATAACATTAACTAAGTGATGATGAACTATATATGTATATAGGATATTATAAAATATGATTGAGAGATGTATTTAAATATTATTTGAATTATGTGGGATGATGATTTAACATCTTTATATTTTAAAACTCTAAAATTTAATATATTATAGAATTATAGATAATATAATATGCTTGCATCATGTTTGAGATTTAATAATTGTTAGCGAATAATAATGTGGTATCTTTGTATGTTAAGTTTTAGAATCTAGTCGATTGTAATTCTATAAGAAGGTAGGATGTGGAAAATGCTTGTGATCTGTCGTCCGATGTAGACAAATAAAATGAACGCAGAGACATCTCCCCATGTGCATGTGCATGTATTTCTCTCTCCTCTCATCCGTGAGTATACAGTACCTATGATGCATACAATATCTGCTAATTTTATGTATGCATGAGACTATAAACGTAAGCTTTAAATATCTTTCCCTCAAAACTACTTATCCAATTTACGATATAATTGTACCATTATATTTGTTGTAATTAAATCTTTACAATAAGATCTTAGTCGATTATATTCTAACAAAAAAATAAAAAAATATGTTTTAGGTTGTGAAAATTTAATGTTTCATATGTCAAAAATAAGTGTTTCAATTGAAATTTGATTATGTTGCACATTTAAGTTTTGTGTTGCAATTGATTGTTTTTTAAGTGTTTGCACATGATGTTATTCGTATGTTTTAATAAATATTTTATGATGTTTCACTAATTCATCTGAAAAATGTTGCATGTAGTGTTATTAGGCTATTTCAATAAGTATTTTTATGATGTTTTACTGATTTATTTACACTTGTTTCACACGGTGTTATCTAGATGTTTTAGCAAGTATTTTGTGACGTGTCATCAATTACAGCTTGTTGTTTCATTTATAATATTAAAATATTGCAATAAGTAGTATAATCATATCTGTATATTTATAGTAAATATAATTGAGTAAGGTCTTGTTATAAGGATTTAATTATAAAATATAATGGTGAAATCAAATCATTGATAGGATAAGTAATTTAAAATAAAAATAGTTCAAAATTTTATTTAAAATATTGTTAAAAAAGAAATAGAGATGTTACATGTAGCATGGTAGTTCATATGGATATGCATGTAACCTGCGTAAGCGTTCGTACCGCGTTTGAGAAAACCTGTAACATAAAGTCCAAGTTCCTATTTTCATGAATAGAATTCAATAAGTCGTGGTTTTTATGTTGGTGTGTCCCTCAATCAATTTGGTTATGTCCTTCATATTTCGTTGTGATGTGATTGGTTTGGTCTCAAATTCGATAATAATTGGTTCTAACTATATGAGCAGAGGCCGAGATTTTATCTAGAAAAAAATCGCTGTTTTTCTATGCTGCTGAATATTCGCTGATCTTTGACCTCGAAGAAATACGGAGTAGTAGAAAATAAAAAGAAATCAGGAGAATATGATCCACCATTGGCAGCCGAGCACGTCTCAACACGCACGGGACGGGACGCCATCGTCGGCCTTCCGCTGCGGACTCCAAAACGCGTATAAATCAGCGTGCATCGACCCACCCATCCGGCTCGACTCGACCCGACTCAATCGATCCATCCCGGCTCGGCTCAGCTCGGCTCGAGCGACTCGGCTGGTCGTCTTCTCTCCAGGCTCCGGAGCCACCAAGCCAGATCCCCCACAGTATCCCACGGTCCCACCCGCCTTGCCTTGGCCGCCTCCCTCCGTCCACGAATCGCCGCCACTTTAACCAAGCCTCCTTGATCACACTCCTAATCCGATAGCTTAATCTCGAGCGCTTCGAGTTCGATCTCTCGTGAAGGGGACGACGAGGGCATTGTCTCCCTCCTCGCGCGCGCGGAGTCGCCGCCGCCGCCGCCTCGTCCTCGGCCACGCGGTGAGTCCTCGCGCCGACCTCGCCGTTTTGGTTGCGTTTTTTTTTAGTTTTCTCTGCAGCGGGATTTGGAGACGATGGGTGTCGCTGTGTGTGCTGTGAAATGGGGATTTGTGGTTTTTTTTTTTGGTTTGTGGAGTACGAGTACGCGGGGGAAGTTTCGAGGTCGGTTGCATCCGGAGCTCCCGCTGGAGTGGTCTACTCTAGTGCGGATTTGGAAGCGGAGAAGTTGGAGTTGGAGGTGGCGTGACGGATCAAGCGGAGTCGCGATCGCTCGCCGGAGCCGTGCGGATTCCGGTGCTAGCGAACAACGGCGGCACCGTCGGCGTTTTGTAGCGGTCAAGCTGCTGCTGCTGCTCGGAATCTAGCTAGGTTTTTGTTCTGTCCTAATCCGGGTTTCCCGATTGGATTTGATGGTCTTCTCCCCACGCATGAGAGTTGGTTAGCACGGAAGCTTTGGGGATTGTTCCGTTTAATTCGGCGCGCTTGCTGAGTTGTGCGCGCTCACGCTGCGCTCCAGTTGGCTAGGCCTGCGGGGGAGGCGATCTCTGTTCCGCTTTGGCGCTCTCTGGACAACCGACTTCAAAAGCGGCTCCTGATTTTTTTCCTGCTGTTGCTTGTATATTTTGCCTTCTAAGTCACTCATGTTGGCAGGAATTGCGTGGGTCCTGGTTGTGGAAGTCAGGAAGTGAAGAAGAAGAAGAAGAAGTGAACTAGTGAAGCCTGGGGCAAGCCATGATGGAGAGGTCGCTGATGGAGGCGCTGGCTACGGCGGCGCAGGGAGGCACCGTGGGGACGTCGGTTTTCGACATGCTCAAGTACGCCGTGCTGCCCATTGCCAAGGTGTTTACCGTCTGTTTCATGGGGTTCCTCATGGCCTCTAAGTATGTCAATATCCTCCAGCCGAACGGCCGCAAGCTTCTCAATGGGGTGAGCCTTGTTCATTCTCTTGCAATATAATTTTATCTGTAAGATTTATGAGTTTTTGCTGTGACTATGGAGAATGGTAAGTTGGCTGCTGTCTAGAATAGGAAGATGTGGGGGCAGTTGCTTGTGCTTACTTGCATTCCTGATGTTCTCGATTATGCTTACATTTTGGTCGTTTGGTGCAGCTTGTGTTCTCGCTTCTACTTCCTTGCCTTATATTTTCCCAACTGGGTAGAGCAATCACAATCGAAAAGATGCTGCAATGGTAATGACAGATTCTAGTTAATATGCTTTGTTAAGTTTGCTGCATGCTTTTCGCATTTCATTGTGTAGTCTATTGATCATGGTTCTTACCATAACTAGATCGTTCTGGTTGCGGGAATTTTAAGTCATCATCCAAATGGAGTAAATTAGCTCCCAGAATTTTCTGCAAAAAGATCTTAAGTGTACCAATCGAAAGCGAAGGAAGTGTTGCATTATCTGAAAGTTTCAGGACTAATTTAAGACGTCAAAATACTTAAATTACCATATTGTTTGTTACTGGCAAAATCCATCTGGTTGGAATTGGTTGGACTTCATCTATAAGGCCATCCAATCCTTGTTATTATTTATGATGACATAAGGCCTTTTTCTTTGCAAAAGATAATCGCATTGTGCCTATGTTTTGCTTTTACTGTTTTTAACATTCTTACAGTAGCAATATTTTGTTGTTTGCAGGTGGTATATTCCAGTAAATATTGTTGTAGGTGCAGTGTCAGGCTCTTTGATTGGCTTTGTGGTGGCTTCTATCATCCGACCACCTTATCCATACTTCAAGTTCACTGTGATTCACATTGGAATAGGTACCTGGTTTTCTTTATTAAATAAAGTTGCCTTCTCATTTATCATTCTTCTATTTTATATTGATCCGATCCCTTATTTCGATTCAGGGAATATTGGAAATATACCTCTGGTTCTCATTGCAGCATTATGTCGAGATCCCACCAATCCTTTTGGTGACTCTGATAAATGTAATGAAGATGGGAATGCGTATATCTCATTTGGTCAATGGGTACATGTCTTTTCTTTTCTGAAGTTGCATGAGTTCATGCTTTATTCAGGACCTCTACTATGCAAAATAAATGTAACAGGTTGAATTTAGGTTAGGTATGCATTGAGATCATTCACTCAGTGAATCCTTTAAATGTTTCAGGTTGGTGCAATTATTGTTTACACATATGTGTTCAAGATGCTTGCTCCACCACCTGGTGAATCCTTTGATAGCGCTGAAGAAGATATTCTTCCAATTAAGGCATCTGGAGATAATGTGGTGCCTGAAAAAGGGAAATATCCAACAAGCACTCGCACTAGTACTGTACCTGAAAATGAGCCTTTGTTATCTTCTGAAGGTGATAAAAATGTTTCTACTTCTCTAGGATCGAAGGTGAGAAATACCATCAGAAATTTGGTATGTTTACTTCTTATATCAATTTGATTTCTAACATGAGCTAAAAATCATGCTCTGTTGATGCAGATAATGGGCATTGTTAGAAGCATGGTTAAGTTCCTAAAAGACAAGCAGCTTCTTCAGCCACCAATTATTGCCTCTGTATGTATCTACACTACAATATTATGCTAGCAATAAACACAGAACATTTCTGTATACTGTGGTTTGACAGCAACTATTTTACACTATGCACAGGTTTTTGCAATTGCCATTGGTGTTGTTCCAGTCTTGAAGAATTTTGTCCTCACTGATGATGCACCTCTGTTCTTCTTCACAGACAGCTGTCTCATTCTAGGGTATTTACATGACTTTCAGTTCCCTTTTTGTAAAATAAAGTACACTTTCCTATAAAATTACAAAAGCACGATGAGCCACCTTGGTTCCTAGTTTCTAATTCTGTCATTCCTTTTTCAGGGAAGCAATGATCCCTTGCATTTTGCTTGCAGTGGGGGGCAATCTTGTCGATGGTAAGCACCTAGTTCTGTTGAAACTATTGCGCGGCTCCTACCATTCTATAGTACTAGGAGCCTAGGATGCATCTCCAGATCTTATCCTAGCTCATGTAACCATGTTTATTGCATCAGGTCCTGGTGAAGGAAGTAACAGGCTTGGTGTGCGGACAACCGTTGCTATTATTTTTGCACGGCTCATCTTGGTTCCTCTTGCTGGGGTTGGCATCATTGTGTTGGTTGATAAACTTGGTTTCATTCCTAAAGATGACAAAATGTTCAAGTTTGTCTTGCTACTGCAGCATTCTATGCCCACATCTGTGCTGTCAGGTACTAAGAAATGAATAAGGGACACTACTTATCACTTATTATCATGTGAGCATGTTCAAAGATAGATTCCTTCTAATAGTTTTATGTGTTGGTTGAGATCTGTAAGGCATTGGTGGTGGAACACCATGTGCTTTATGTTAGCGACCAAATAATGGAATATGATCTGAGTTTTTTTTTTTTTTTTGGCAGGTGCTGTTGCAAACCTGAGGGGCTGTGGAAAAGAATCTGCTGCTATCTTGTTCTGGGTGCACATCTTTGCTGTGTTCTCCATGGCAGGATGGATTATTTTGTATTTGAGCTTACTCTTCTAAGTACGTCATACCCTGGTAATGGCAGTTAATCTGTGGCATTTGTGCTCAAGTTGCAGCTCTACAGATTAACTACTATACGAGTCCTTGAATACTTAGAGCCACTCTCTGATTTGATTTGCAGATGCTATACTGCACAGGAACGTCCATAAGATCAAAATATCACCAGATATACCAGAAAAAGATAGTACCATGACATGTACATTAGCCAGTAAACCATGGCGACAGCCTGAAGGTACGAGTTGTATCAGTATTCAGTATAGATATGGTTCTCCTGCCCAGTGCCCAATCGCTTAAGCGCCACTGCTATGTTAATTTTGCTAATCGCTCGCTGCTACAAGCAACTGAGCAATGAGAAAATGAGGGCATAGCGGTATTGCCGATGCCCAGATCATCAGGTCCTCATGACCTTTAGGTCGGTTTCCTATATAAGCCTCTTTCCTTTATTAATGTAGCCCCCCCCACAATGATCTTCATTGAATGAACTACAAGCTTCAAGTGTGTTTTTGTGGTGCAGTTATATTTGAAAGAGTAAGAGTAAACTACAAATTGGACCACTGTTTATTGGCAAAGTTTTGCTTTGGGCCTCCCTTTAACCAATGTTTTCACTTTGGACTAGATAATTATACTTGTGTCACTTTGGATCACCCCTAACTCTTATGTTAAGTACATCAATAATCTCGATTATACCGGCTTTTGCATGCCGATGAACTCGTGAAATTGTATGTAGACCACACCTTTGGCACAGAATGAGTTGGATGTAAATGGATAAGAGTTGAGAGTTGTCCAAGTGACACAAATAAAAAATTATCTAGTCCAAAGTGAAAATATTGGTTAAAAGGCAAGCCCAAACCGAAACTTTGATTATAAAAGGTGGCCCAAAGCATGAACTTCGGTTGAAACTTTGATTATATATCTTGATTATATGGATACAATCTCTCATGCATGAACTGATGCGTGCACATGCATAATGTTTATGTGATCACATGATTCGCATCATGCAGGATGGGTGCCCGACATCCACCCACGCACATACATGAATGCCAAAATCAAAATATTTGCCTGCAAGCTCATGCCAGCGGTTCCTAGTATGCATGTGGGTCATGTAGCCTTAACTAGCATTGGTACTTCCAGATCCAGTGATATCAGAGTACATATGTGATCTCTCCATGTGCTTATAGATCTGGGAACCTGCAGATCTGAAGTTCTGAACCCACAGTTTTCATTCACTTTTAATCTTTTGAATCTGAAGGAGAGGGAGATTCATGATTCATCACCGTACCAAAAAAAAAGGTGAGAGATTTCTATAGTGAACTTTAACCAAGCAGACAGCTCAATATGCCTCTTGGTGTGCGTATTGGTTGGGGTCTCAAAATCAGATGCAAATCCGTCAAACGGAATATACTTGGAAGATACGTATCGCGTCAGCACTCAGCATGGAGTCAGACAGGTACTGACATTCAGACACGCTAGGGTCGGACAAAAAACAGATACTGCCAATATTCGTTCATCGGAAATAGAACAAAAAAACATGTATTGACAATAAATCAGTGTACAGAACAGTACCGTATCGATATGGCGAGCAGATAATAACGCAAGGATACGTATGAGCCGTCTCTCATCAGCAGAAATGGCTGCATGTATTCGCTTCGCACCCAGAAGAATATCCTACGAGCGAAACGAGCAGATGCCTTTTCGTTTCGTTTCTGCTTGTAATTTGGGGTCCGTAGAGTTCATCATTTTTTCGCAGGATTCAAAGCTTGCGTAATTAGGCCTGTCGCGAGACACTTGTAGTCTCCCGATCCGACCCATCCCTCAAATCTCCGTTTTAAGCTTAATGGTGCCATCATTTGATCCAGACTACCCACCTGCCTTCGCAAGAAGAAAAATCTCGACATCTGCCTAAAAAATGTCTGGGCGCAAAATATGACGACATATTTTTAGTACATCCGAAAAAGAAAATCTCAAAATCTGTCAATCGCTTTAGGATATCTCCTGTAGACTTCAGCTGGTAAACAGAACGGGATTGGGGCCGGCGTGAGATCCATTGTACTTTAGAGGAACAAGTTCTCTTCAACTCTATTAAGTAGTGGCCGAATCTGATTCATATCCTTGAATCGCAATACTAATATCTCAATCCTCATCTATTGAAATGGATGCAATTTAACTCTTTCGACGGTTTTGGAGGTCAGTTTCGCTTACGTGGCGCCTATATGGTGGTGTTTGACCTGGTCTTCGTTGAACGTCGTGTTGATGTAGCGCTTATATGATATTAGAATAAAAAGTATGTGGGATCCATTTGTTATTCACACAAAAAAAAATATTGTGAGACCTATTGACATATTGGCCCACATATCTTCTTCTCCTTCCCTTTTTCCTCCTCCCTCTCTCCCTTCTCTACCCCGCTCTCTCTACCTCTTGTTTTCTCGACGGCAGAGCAGGGTGTGCACGGCGAAGCGACCGACGGCCAGCGGGACAATTCCGGCGACGAGGTGGGCGGCAGGCAGCAATGGGGGAGTAAGCCGGGTGTCGCAATGACGCCTGCCTCCTACGCGGGACAATTCCGGCAGCAGACGATGATGGCGCGACAAAAGGCGTCGGGGAAGATGGGAGGCACGCGTGACGGGCAGCTGCCACGGGCTGTGGCCGCGGCCGGAAGGGAGCGAGATGGGGAGGAGATAGGAGTGAGCTAGGCGCCGCGGAGGGACTACCCAGGCAGAGCCACAGCTGTGTGGCCCCGATGCGCGGCAGTGGGCTAGCCTTGAGCAGAGTGGCTGCGACCTACCTTAAGGCGGAGCAACGGCGCATCGGCACCAACGCCTTCTGCCTATGTCGCCGACGAAGAGAGGAGTGGGGGAGAGAGAAGGGAAAAAGAAGTCCCTGCCATGTGGGCCCCACACGTTGAGTTAGCTGGTCAAGCTAAGTTAAAGCGCAAGTCAGCGAAACCGCTCTCCAAAACCATTAGGGAGTCAAGCTGCACCGGTTTTAATAGTTGGGGGTTGAGATATCCGTTATTGCGGTTCAGGATACGAATCAGATTGGAGCTATAGCTGAGGGAGTGTGAGTGAACTTATTATTTTAGACGGAACGGGATTGCCCCTGATGTTCGGTCCATAAGAGTTAGCCGGAACGGAATCAGGGATGCGCTCGGCCGTGTGGCCCCATTTCACTCGTGGCCCTTTTGACTTCTGAACTTCGCTTTCGGGCTGGGGTGCTCTGCATGGTCAGGCTGTTTCTTTTTTCTGTGCCCGGACCAAAATAGTGAGATTGCGTCTTCCCAGTTTTGCTAGGCAATCAAATTCCTGAGTCACAGAGATGCAGCACAAACCACATTTGGGACCAAAATGCCTTTTGAAATCACTATCAATTTCATTGTCAAACAGGCCAGGAAAGAAAGCCCGAATGCTTTTGGGCAAACACAGTAAAGAAAGGAACAGATGGTTCCCCGATTCTTCCTCACATTACATAAGAAAAATATGCCTTTTACTTGCTGTTTCTTACCCAAACTTAAGACATGATTCCTTCTAGGCGCATTAATCTACCTGCCAACCAGATGAGATGCAGGGACATAAACAGGAACCGAACCTCTAAAATTTTACAACACATAAAAATTGACACGAGAAAACTAAACAGAGAACGAAAACAGTCTTCTCCTTAGGTTGAACGGATTGGCAATCTGAACTCTGAAGCACCTCTAGACGTTGAAGCATAACGGCATCCCAGAAATTATCACTAGTAGCAGAGCGTAAAATGATTCTGTCGTCATCATCTATCAACTATCCTTTTCTCCCTCATAGTGCCTAACTTTAGAATTGATTCCATGACCCTGAAGCAATAGAGTAAACACGAAGCAAGTTCGCGAATAACTTTGTAGCAAGGTAAAGCCCTAAAAGTTACCTATGGGATGACAAATCCCGCAACATTTCCCTGGGTCGGGATCACAATTCTGATACCACCCCAACTTTCCTCTTCACAGAAATGACGAAAATATCAGTCGAGTTCTGCATAATCTCCGCGCGTGGTTTAGGCCGCAGATCAACATTGTTGAATCCACAGTGGTTTTCAGTTGCATGGATTGATCCAAACAGCAAGTACTGCACCAAGATTGACGCATCAGGGAACTCTGATGTGAATTGGGGAACTAAGTTCTCTCTTTCTGTTGATGAACATGATATGAGCATGCAGCAGATGGAACTAACAGTTGAAGTTTACAGGAGAGAGCCCGTATTTCTAAGGGAGCATCTCCAGGGAACTGCAGTCATCCAGATGAAGGAGTACTTTGATAAATTTTCACAGGGCAAGGATCCTTCGGGAGTAACTGAGGAGACTTCAAGTTTTCAGCTTAGGAGGAAGAAGTCAGACAAACCCCATGGATTTGTTGATATCTCCATCCGTATCTGCAAGGAAGAAAACAATCGTGCTACGTTCTCAGGTAAAGAGATATTTCTCTCTTTTCTATATATAAAGAAGACACTATGATTTTGCATCCGATATACTTATTTGCACGAAACATTAGAATGTTTTTGCGAGCCAATTTTATGAAAAGAGGATAAATATAGCAAGAATTTAGATTATCCAGTTACCAGACACACCTAACTATCATGCTGACAACAGAAGAACAAGGAAATAACCAACTCTTTTCCAACATGCCTTACAAAGTTACAATCATGATTGACAACAGCATTTGAAGTTAATAAGGTTTCTGGAGTACTAACTACTAAGAATCATAGGTTAGAAGGAAATAACAGGAAAAGTAGAAGCCGTTACAGGATTTGTGGGTCAATTTTTTGTTACTAAAAAGGTATTTAGCCAATAGTGCAAATATGACTAGAAACAAGATATGCTTCAAAACTATTTATTTTATGATTTTAACAGGACTGACCTATAGTTTATCAAACTTATGCAGTCCATTTATAATTTTGCAGGATCACAGGAAGGATTGAAGTACCCAGATCAGGTTGGCATCACATTAGCTATAGAAGATGGTCCAGTTTACAATTATCCACCAATGCCTTCCAGTCATTTTAAGGGGTACACCCAAGATGTTGATCATTACAGCAACTCCATGCCAGTGACCGCTGCCACTCGCCCAGGACAATCACCACCAGGAAGCAACTACAGTTACCAACCCACAATGGTTCCACCAATCCTGCCACATCCAACTTCAAACCCCAGTTTCTTTACACCACAGTATCCAACAAGGGGGCCAGTGCCACAGACCTACATAAATGTGCCACCAAGAATGGGAGGTCAAAACAGCACACCGAATTTTGGAATGGGGCTTGGAGCAGGAGCACTGGCTGCAGGAACTATGATATTTGGTGAAAACCTCTTGTCTGGTCAAAGTTTAAATACTGGTCTTGATGGAGCGAGCCTATCAATATCCAACGATGCACCATTCTGATCTCTGAGAAACTTCATGTCCACGGCTCTGTGCAAGATTGTTATGACTTCTGTAACAAAATATGATTATATGAATAGTCATGAGTGTTCTACTGAATATAATGGGGTCGTATTACTCAGGTGGCTGCAATCCCTCATCCAACTTATCAGCGCATGTAACATTTCGTAGATCATGTCAGCCTCAGGGTGTCCCCTATCCCCACTGACAAAAGCATGCATCACTGCTCCACTCCCCCTATCATCTCCACCCACCTCAACCCAGCTGCAGCCTGGTGCAGCTTTCTGTACTCCTCGCCGTTTCATCTCGCCCCTCACCTCTTCCAGTTCGTCAAAGTTTCCCTCCCAGCCATATGTATTCGCTAGCAGCACCCACCCACCACTCTCAGACTGCTCTGTCGTCATCAGCATCCTAGCTGCCTCTTGGGCTCTCTCCTTATCACCATGCATCCGGCATGCTGCAAGGTATGTCCTCCAAGCACCAACCCCCACATCCCCTGCATCCTCTACTACCTTTCTAGCCTCCTCCAGCCTCCCTGCACGCCCAAGCATGTCAGTCACACATGCGTAGTGCTCTAACTGTGGCTCCAAAGAAAATTCCTCTTTCATTCTCTTCAGAAAATTCTTCCCTTCTTCAACAAGCCCGGAATGGCTGCAAGCCGACAATGCCCCCAACAGTGTTATCTCATCTGGAAGAAGCCGTTCCACCTCTGTCATCTGGCAGAACAACTCCAGTGCTTCCTTCCCATGCCCGTGCGATGCATATCCATCAATCATAATATTCCATGATGCCACATCCCGCTGTTGCATCCGATCAAATATGCGACGAGCCTCATCCAAAGCCCCACTCTTGGCATACATGTCCACCAGTGCATTACAAGCAAACGAGTCCAACGCGCCATGGCAAGCCAGTCCACTAGTTACAATGTACCCATGCACTTCCCTTCCCACCTGCAATGCTGCAGTCTGCGCGCATGCAGGAAGAACAGCCGCAACGGTCACTGCATCTGGCCACACAGCAACGCGTCTCATCCTTGAAAACAGCTTCATTGTCCCAGCATGGTCAGCGGAGTAATGCAGCGCTGACAGCATTGAGTTCCAGCTGAACAGATCCTTGACTATGTCCGCCATCCCCTCAAACACCATTGCTGCATCATCCACCTTGTGGCACTTCCCGTAAAGATCCACCAACGCATTGCACACAGACACCTCCTGTTCAAACGCGGACTTCACCACTAGCCCATGAACCGCAGCCCCGTGCCCCAAATCCGCTGTGGCGGTACAGACCGACAGGATGCCGGTGACGGTGAAGCTGCTGATCTCGACCTCACCGTCCTCCCTCATCATCCGGAAGCACTCCACGGCGTGGCCGAAGCACCCGAGCCTGGCAAACCCATTGACCATCGCGTTCCACACCACCACGTCCCGGCGCGGCAATTCGCCGAACAGGCGGCGAGCGTGGTCCGCGAGTCCAAACCTGAGGCACGAGCGGAGCATCGCGCTGGCGCAGAAGAGGTCGTGCGCGAGGCCGCAGCGGAGCGCGAGGGCGTGGAGCGCGAGGAGGTGTGGCGGCGAGGGCGCGGAGGAGACGAGGGGCGGGAAGGAGAAGGCGTCCGGGGAGTACGCGTGGCGGAGGCCGCGGAACACCGCGAGCGCGAGCGGGTGGGGCAGGGAGAGCCCCGCGTTGAAGCAGGGAAGCGGCGGGGGCGACGGTCGGTCCAGGAGGAGCGGGGCGACGTGGCGGTGGAGCGCCGGGGCGGCGGCGCGCGCGTAGAGCGAGACGAGGGAGGTGAGCGCGGCCGGGGAGGCGGCGAGGCGGCCGGAGACGAGGAGGTGGGCGTGGAGCGGGAGGAGGAGGCGCGGCCCCGCCGCGCGCGGGGTGGCGAGGATCGCGCGGAGCGGGACGCGCAGCGCCGCCATCCTTTCCGCTTCGCTCGCGGGGGCGGATCAGCCGGCGACGCCGCCGCCGCGCGGCCGTGGAGTCGTGTGATCGCGGCGAGCCGGAGAACTCGCGAATCTGAGGCGCCAACCGGAACCAGTTCGTTTTGGGCTTTTGGATGCGCTGCGTGTGGGCTGCTCAGCAAGTCAGGCCCAACTGAGGCCCTGTTTAGTTCCCAAAACAAAAATTTTTACGTTGTCACATTAAATGTTTAAACACATGTAAAGATTATTAAATGTAGGTAAAAAAATAATTACACAAATTATGTGTAAATAGCGTGAAGAATCTTTTAAACCTAATTGTGCTATGATTTGACAATGTCGTGATACAGTAAACATTTGTTAATGACGGATTTATTAGGCTCAATAAATTCATCTCGTAGTTTTCTAACGGAATCTGTAATTTGTTTTGTTATTAGACTATGTTTAATACTTTAAATGTGTGTCTGTGTATCTGATGTGACAGCGAAACCCACAAATTTTCCCATAAACAAGGCCTGAGTTCACAACAGCCATGAATAAGCCCAATGAGCAGACAGTGGATCTGCACTTTCTATGGGCCGGGCCGTTTCCTTTTGTGCAGACACGTCACAACTCACACGTGTGGGGGCAGTGGGCACGGTGAAGCTGACCGAAAGGGTTGCGGTGGTGGGGATCTACACACACAGAGCGCCTGGATTCTGAGGTCAGATAAGTACTCCCTCCATCCTAAATAAAAAAGCAAACTGTCCGTCTTATATAATTTTTTTTATAATTAGTATTTTCATTGTTGTTAGATGGTAAAACATGATTAATACTTTATACGTGACTTATCATTTTAATTTTTTCATAATTTTTTTAAATAAGACGAACGGTTAAATGTTGAATACTGAAACCAGGTTTGTCTTTTTTTTTGGGACGGAGAGAGTACTCCAGTACTACTACCGCCGCTTTATTGTTTTGTTTACTTGGAGAGAGAACAGGAACAGCATCATCAAAAGGTAAAATAAGCCACGGCACCGTGGTATGGGTCAGATCATCCGCAGATGGCCTCGACCCCCGCTTGTCTGTCACCGTCCGGAGAACGCACCGGGACCCCCCCCCCCCCCCCCCCCCCCTCTTTCCTTTCCCCAATCCGCTGGGGACAGCAACACCAAGGTTCCAAGTCGCCAACGCCCTCTCGCGTACCGTGCGGCGTGCGCGATGCGGTGTGTGGCGCGCGTGGGAGGGACGTGTGGGTGTTCCATGCTAAAATGCACATGTGAAGGAAGGGCAGCGGCAGAGGGGCTCTGCTGCGTCAGTGCAGCGTACGCCGCGGCCGCAGGGGGCCTGCATGCATGCCGTGCCCGTGGACGGTGTCTGCAGTAAAACGTGGAGTACTCCATCCGTGAAAAAAAAAAAACCTAGTTTTCCGTATCCAACGTTTAATTGTCCGTCTTATATGAAATTTTTTTATAATTAATATTTCCATTGTTGTTAGATGATAAAACATGATTAATACTTTATGCATGACTTATTTTTTTTAAAAAAAATTTAAATAAGACGGATGGTCAATCATTGAACAATGAAACACAGGTTTTTTTTTTACGGAGGGAGTACGCATCAAAACCGATCTATCCATCAGAGAGGCAGGCAGGCAGGCATCCAATGCTCGGCGCCATTTAGCTTCTCAAAATAATTTTTTTTTAAAAAAAAACATTACTGCCACTACTAGTAGTACCAGCGTAGAAACAGGAGAGAGGAAACAAGGGAGCATATGCGCGGATTTGTATCTGTTCTACAAGATGACAAGGAGCAATGGGAGGATCACACATGGGCTAGCTGACAGGCGATCGAGTATTGGTCCTGAACCAAAACGTTGTGCCGGGTTCTCACCAAGGGCAAGCTCACGGCTTTGTCATTGGGCAGCCATCGGAGTGGACGTACGAGTGCACGATCGGGGATTGATTTCCATGTGCGCCCTTCCTTCCCCTGTTTCCAAAGTGCTCCTTCCTCCACGTTTTACAACTTTCATGTGTATTTTTTTAATACAGTAGAATTCATTCCGGTATTCGCTTTAAAGAGGCTACGATCAAATTATTACTACATGATTTACATGTTAAAAGACTGGCAATTATGTCGAAACAAGATTTTGGCAATACTAAAAGGGTGGCAATCAAGCTGAAAAAATGGATAGGTTAGGAGACACAAATCAAGCTGAAAAAATGGATAGGTTAGGAGACACAATATTTATATAGGTTCAGGTCTTCTCGATGAGAAGTAATACCCTACTTCTGTTGGAAGATTGATCCGCCGAGTGTATTATTAATCGTATGATATGGGAGAAAAGTTATGCCTCTAAGAGCACCGGACCCCTTCTTATTTAGGGGAGGAGCCGAGATTATAACATACAGCTCATGTTCCTTACGGACTAGGCATGTAAAGATAAATTACGATCATAACCGATTAGGACTATCGAGTAAATCCTTGATATATAAGTTAACATAACAACTGTGTCATTTACTAAATATATTATATCTGCATAAAGTATCCTTATAACCAGTCGGATATTCATGCCATATGGGTATGTGGTACCTATAATCTCCACAAATTACAAATCACAATTTTGATTATAGACAAGATAATTACTTAGAACTCAAGTAAAAAACAAAGATAACACATATTTCTAAACATCTATGTATGGTTGATGAGAATATGCATAACCGTTGTTTCTACTCGATGGTTTGCTATTTGTATGTAGTCTTTGCCCTTCTTAAATTAGGAAACAAAATCTTCGAAATAAGCAGCACCCCTGGGACGCTGTCGAAGGTAACACTCTTGCTTTCTTGGCGACTTTCTGTAGGTGAAAACTACATCTTTCTTAGATTGGCAATGGAGGCGTCCTTGGCGTCATGACCTCCGTGGTGGCATTGTTTTCAGAGCCTCGTCTTTGTAGTGTTGTCATAGGTTCGGCGACTATTGACCACACATAGCCGAGGGGGGGGGGGTCGTTTTGGTGCTAGGCTCCATTCTCAATGGTTTTTGTGCGGTTAGAACGTGTTTTCTTGGACGTGCACTTTGGTGCACTTCTGATCTCGACAGTTTCTATCGTGTTTTTCTTATAACTTCAGCATCCGATCACTGTGATGATCGCATTCACCCACATCATCTCATGTGGCGGACATCAAACCAAAGTGGAAGATAACATCCGAAAGTAACTAAGTTGTAATTCAATCATTCACCCCGATTTGCCACCACCACTACTGTCAAAGCTGGTCCGCTAGGACGCCGCACCAAAGACTGCAGCTCGTTGTCATTCCAGTGCTGCTAGCGGCATCGACAAAAAGGTCACCCCCAAATGCGCGACTTGCAGGCACAACAACACCGCTCCATGCATTGTTCAACTCGGTGACCATGGCAATATGATACAACAAAATGACAATGAGACAGTAGCTTCACGTACGGCTGCCAACTTGGCGCCATATCACGAGATGTTGGCACCTCCGGTGAGGAGTTAGACCAAGAAGCCTCACCTCCGCGACTAGCTAGCTGTGTGCAGCCGGCAGCGGTAGTGAGAAAGCACGCGTGTGAGAGAAACCTCGGGATCGTCTCAGTTATTACGTGTGTACTCCTAACTAGTTAACTACTACTCTCATGCGTGTAACTACTGATGTTTGTCATGCAAAATGTTTAGGCTCTGGTTTTTAATATAAAAGATTCATAAAAGTTGGAGTTTTTTTTAAAATAGAAATAAGAGTACATGTTGGAGTCTTTGAAAAATACCCCAGTCCCAAACGTACATCTCTCTATTCAAATGCTAGAATTTTGTCAAACCATATGTATTGTGTCATGGATGAGACATTTCTCTACTATTATAAAAATTGAATATGTTTTTACTGATACTTTGGTACGTTGTCTGTGTATAAGTTGGTTTTTAAGTTTGTTCGTTTTTGGAAATACAGGAAGGGTCATATAAGAAATCTCTTTAAAAAAAACTTGCATAGTAACTTGAGATGATCGGACTTCTAATTACAGCTCATGATTTTCTAGAAAAATATATATTCAAGCGAATTCTCATAATGAAACTATGGTAAAGATTGGAGATGTTTTTCCGGTACTTTAGTACGTCATCCGTGTATGAATCGGTTTTTAAGTTCGTTCGCTTTTGGAAAATACAGGAGCAATGGTATAAGAAAATTCTTTAAAAAATTAACTTACATGCTAACTTAAGATGATCGGACTCCTAATTGCAGCTCATGATTTTCTAGAAAACATATATATCCAAGCGAATTCTCAAAGTGAATTTCACCTCAACAAAACCGTATAGCAATAATAAAATTAAAATAGTATTCACCCATTGTAACGCATGTGTATTTTTTTAGTAGGTATAAATATTCGAGATATATTTTTATGTGTTGAAAATAATAAAAGTCGGCATGTTTAAAAAGGCATGCCAAATGCGGGTTTATGGATTGGATATAAGTATACATTACCTAGAAAAAATGACCATGCGTTGCAACAAGTGAAGACTATTTTAATTTATTATTGTTATACGGTTTAGTTAATGTGTTATTCACTGTGAGAATTCGCTTGGATATATATTTTTTCTAGAAAATCATGAGTTGCGGTTAGGAGTCCGATCATCTCAAGTTAGCATGTAAGTTAATTTTTTAAAGAGATTTCTTATATGACCGTTCCTGTATTTCCAAAAGTGGACGAACTTAAAACTTGACTCAAATACATATCCGTATTTCTAAAAGCGAACGAACTTAAAAACCAACTCAAACACGGATGATGTAACAAAGTACCGGCAAAAACATCTTCAATCTTCATAGTAGTTTTACTGTGAGAATTCGCTTGAATATATATTTATCTAGAAAATCATGAACCGCAATTAGAAGTCCGATCATCTCAAGTTAGCATGCAAGTTTTTTAAAGAGATTTCTTATATGACTCCTTCTGTATTTCTAAAAGCAAACGAATTTAAAACCCGACTCAAATACAGATAAGTATTTCCAAAAGTGAACGAACTTAAAAACCGACTCATATACGAATGATGTACCAAAGTATCAGCAAAAACATCTTTTTTTATAATAGTAGAGATTGCCAACCCGGTCAAAAAAAATAGTAGAGATTGCCAATATGTTTTAATCACGATATTAGGGTTTATAGCATTGCGCTATGTATAAAAATATATTTACATGAATCTTCCCTCAATCACCTTACTGGTTTCGTCAATTTATATATACGATAATTGAACGTGAATTATCATTACATTTCTCGCTAACGGTATATAACTATCATGGAAAAAGTCTATTCAACACATAGAGATTAACAGTGCTAGAGAGTAGAGACACTGGAATCAAAAGCATAGATCAGTGCGCGTAGCATTAACTTGCGAGTGTTAATACCTCGATAAAGAAATCCAAAGGTTTTAATCACCATATTTGCCAACAAAGAAATCCAAAGATTATCTTGGCAACGGGAATTATCTGTATCACATTTAGTTAGAAAATCTCTACTATTATAAAAATCGAAGATATTTTCGTCAGAATTTTGATATGTCATCCGTATTTGAATTAGTTATATGTCGCTCATATATAATTTGATGTTGTCTAGAATAACAATTTTACACCCCTATCACAGCAACCCCCCTCTCTCTCCCAGCCAAATCCAACCAGCTCGCACCATCCCCCCTCCCCCCCCCCCCAATACCACGCGTCTTCACTAGGCGCCGCGCGCCCCTCCCCCAATCGGGTTTTTTTTTCTTTTTTCTCCTTTTATTTCTCCCGAAATCCTATACTCTTCTCCTCCTTCCAATCCCCTTTCTTTTCTCCTCCCTTTCTCTTTTTTTCTCCTTTTTTACTTCTAAATTTCTCTCCTCATACATATTTTTTTTATTGTTTAAGGTGTATGCAACAAGTTTGTTACTTTGCAAATATTTTTCAATAATAATTTTTTACTAATTAAATAATTAAAATCTCAATCTTTCGACACATGAGGTATAATAAAATACATAAGCATCAACTTATAAAATAGCCAACCGATTGATTTGTGAGGCTATGGAAAGATGTACGTAAGGGATTCTTGTGTGATAATGGATGAAGTGAGCGTATCCGGATTCAATGTCATATACAATTTTTTACTTTATTTTGTTTATGTTGTTTCGGTTTGTCGTTTAAATTGATAGAGTTTTTATCAACCGTAAAAAAATATCTTCACTTGTTGAAACGCATAGATATTTTTGCTAGTTAAAAAAAATACAACTTTTCAATTTGAATGGATATTTAATGCCTTAAATTATCCTGCTGTAATGTATGGTGATTCCTGGGTTTCACATTATTATTTTCATTAATTCATGAGTTGTATTTCATTATGTTCCGTATATATCTACCTATTTCCAACCTGTCACACAGGTTTTATGGGTTGTTTGGTTGATGCCTAAGCTTGCCATAACTAAGCTTAGGCAAGTTGTGGCATGTGGCAAAAGTATGGCCAAGAAATAGTTAGCCACAAGTGTGGCAATATTAGCTCTAGTTATCTGAGTATGACATGTGGGACCTAAGAGTAAGAAAGTGTGGCATGACACAACTGTGACATTGAAACAAACACACGCCTAAAAACCGTGGCATGACTGAAGTGTGACGTGACAAAGCGAAGCAATCAACCAAACACCCCCTCAGTGTCAGGCTGGCAACACTAAAACCCTACCTCTCTATCGGGGAAAAGAAAAGAAAAAAAAATCAGGGGGATCGCCAAGACACCAACCAGAGCCGGTGGCGGCTCTAAAAACCTACCTGACCGCAGCAGCTATAAACCCTACCGGGGGTAAAAAGATTTGAGAGCCAGCGGAAGAACCTCCAAAAGGATCCATTTTTGACACCTCGCGTGCAGGATTTCGCCGCAATCTCCCAGCGCTGATTGTTACCGCGCCGCACAAAATAGGAGATAAAAACGCAATAAAAACGGAAGAAAAAAAGAATAAAAAGGCAAAATCACATCTTTTCGGTTCCCCCATCTTGTTTTCCTCTCCATTGCTAGCAGCTAATCCTTCCCCCAATCCAATCCGCCGCCGCCGCCATCGCCATGGAGGCGTTGACGAACGCGGAGAAATGCTTCTCCCCTGCCAGGGCGATGTCCCCGCTGCCGCTGGTGAGGCCGCCGCCATCACCGGGCGCTGCCGGGTAAGATATTGCTACCGAGATTGGATTCTTGGGAGTTTTTACTTCCTTTTTGCTTTTTTTGGTTGTTTTGTTGGAATCGCGATGCCATCTTTTGTTCTTGATGTTTCTGGATCGTCGTCTGAAATCGTGTTTCTTTATCTGTACGGGTTGGATACCTGGATTTGATTGGGCGGCGCAGTCAGTACCTGGCAGAGTTGCTGCAGGAACAGCAGAAGATTGGTCCCTTTGTGCAGGTGCTCCCAATCTGCGGCAGGCTGTTGAATCAAGGTGAGAGATTTTATTCAGGAATTTTAGTACCGATCTTGCTTAGATTCACAGTTTATTAGTTATGATACTTTATGAGCGCCGTCTTTGTGTTAAAAGGACAATCTTTTCATATGTGTTTGTTGATTATGTCACGTTGAACTGATGTATGGGTGACTTGTACTTTGAACTTCATAGTTCCTCACCTCATGTGTTTGTGCATAAGATTAAAGTTTTTTTTTAACGTTATGAAATTGTGTAGCTCTGTAAAAAGGGTAGCCTTTTCGATGATATATAATTTGACATGTACTAACAGTAATGCTGATCATTGATTCGTGCTCTGGGAAACGTTCTGTGCAGAGATAATGAGAATGTCTGCTATTGTTTCGCACCTTGGAGTAAGGGAACATGATAGGCTGCCCATTGCAAGTCCAAACCAGATGCATCCGTTGCCGCAGGTGCCTAATTTTTGCGGGAATGGATTCAATCCATGGACTGGGACGCTCCCAGAGGTATTTGTGTTGATTGCTACATTATTTTGTGATGTTCAGTTATTTTATATTATTTGCTATCTCTGCATTATGTGCTAGCAAGTCTATACAGAAATAGGAAAGTAAAGAATATACAAGTAGTTGCAATTACAACTTGTGCGCGGGGAAAGTTAGGGAATTTAATCAGGACCTTGTTGATGGTTTCATTAAGATATACTCCAAATTCATATGAAGTTGTCTTAATTGCGTTTGGACATAGAATTGCGCTGTGAGTGACAAATTAATTTACCCTGGAATTCGATAAAATAAGGACATTTCCAGTACTGACAGCAGCTCCATCTGAAGCAATCGTGATAACTCCTAATTTGATCAGAACAACTAATATACAGCAGCTATGTACAGTTTGAACATGACATATTGGCAGTATGATACATACATAAACTCTAGAAAAAAAAGTGACAGGTTTAGAGGGCATATGGAATACAGGATAGGATTTAGTTGTCAAAGTGGACAGCGATTCTCTTGGTACATCTTTCAATTCTACTGTTGTAAGTTCTTGGTTGATTAAAACAATACATGCATATCAAATGATCTCTGAACATTTGGATGCTTCGTCATTGGATTAGCTTATGAATAGTGCGAAGATGAACAATACAAATCTTAGTTTTTTTACAAGCATGTTGAAAGGGCACTAGAATTGTATTTTTCCTGTGTTCGTAGATTCTGATTCTCATGTTGCTTGATTATTTGTTTACCTCCAAAGAAGTGTATTACTGAAGTACTCATATACTAAGAGTTGATCGGCAGAAAAATGGCTTTCCTCGGGGAACTATGGGTTGGGAAGGTGCAGCACATGACCCATCTTACATTGTGAAGAAGATCGTGCGGCTGGAAGTTCCAACAGATGCTTATCCTCATGTATGATGTTTCACAACCACAATGGACATTGATACAAAACCTTTATTTACTCTTTCTTTATCCTACTTCTTATTCAGTTCAACCTTTATTTACTCTCTCTATCCTACTTCTTATTCAGTTCAATTTTATTGGCCGTCTGCTTGGGCCAAGGGGAAACTCACTGAAGAGAGTTGAAGCCTCAACAGGTTGCCGGGTTTTCATCAGAGGGAAGGGCTCCATAAAAGATCCCATCAAGGTAAATAATGAATTCTGAGCTCGCATGCATGAACTATTCCGGAATTATACGGATGAAGTGTTTGTATGGTAACATGTCATACTGAACAAGTAACCATTGTTCCAAGTTAGATCTTAGGCAGTTATCTTGTATCCAACTTTTGGCTTCTGGCAAGCGTATAATGCTGACAGGCAAGTCTTTTTGTTACATTCAAGGAGGAACAATTGAAGGGAAGGCCTGGCTATGAACATTTGAGTGATCCGACACATATCTTGATTGAAGCTGAATTACCTGCTGATGTCATTGACACAAGACTAGCACAAGCTCAAGAAATACTAGAGGACTTGTTGAAACCAGTGGTGCGTATATGATATTGCGACTGTCTTAGCCTTACTTCGTTTCCAGTATTTCAGTCTGCAACTCTTGGGTAAACCAAAACATTTGAAAGAGATGGAATTATTTTGGAAAGAACTATTTATGGCTTAGACATGTCAATCATAGTTAATGGTTCCTCTGGTTGTCTGTTCCATGTTCAGCTTAGTGTTTTGTTTTCCTATGTCAATCATAGCAAGTCATAAACATTTTATTTTCTGGAGCAATTGTGCTAACTTGTAAATTATTCCATTGATAGCAATTGTGCAAATTAGTAAATAATTCCATTGATTACTACCCCAGTGAAAGAAATGGAAGAGAAGCAAAGTCAAGTACAATAGATTTTCTTTTCTACACGCCTAAATCCTAATTCTTTCATGGTTTCTTATGTAGGAGGAGTCACAAGACTTTCTCAAGAGGCAACAGCTTAGAGAGCTTGCTGTGCTGAACTCCACATATCGAGAGGATAGCCCCCATCAAAATGGCAGTGCCTCTCCCTTCAGCAATGGTAGCACAAAACTCGGGAAGCAATGACTTTGTGATTCCAACCCCCTTGATCCCTCCAAAGGCGCTCTAATCAACTTGCTTTCATGACATAGAATCCTGCTTTACATTGCATAGATTTGATGATGATGATGAAGCTTCTGTGAGACTATGATGTTGGAATTTTGCTATTGCTAGCTGCTGAATTTTGATACTCCCCCTTGATGACATTAGCTCGTGGCTGAGGTGACTAGTTGAATCTCCATGGCTGTAAAATGAGAATGTTCATTTGTTTCTTTACCATCGACTGTTAGTTCTGATGACTATGGTGACAGTGCACTGAGTTGCCAAAGTTTTACCTAAGGTAGTAGAAGAATACCAGAATTTTCAACCTATGCCTGTGCAACATATATTTCGTGTTCTTGATCACATATATCTCCTGCAGGTCTGATCTGCTACTTATGTCCTGTTTCATCTGCCTTGTACTTCTGGTTTTGCGTTTCGGTCTTTATCTTATGAACTTTGAATTTGTTGAGTTGAGGTCAGCAAACGGTGAGATGGGTGGCGGAGTTGCTGTTTAGCACATGTTTGTTCCGGCGCACACTTTGTCATGTGGAAGTTTTCATATGAAAAGTTGATGAATTTTTTAGGCTCCTTTGGAACGGAGGGTAAAAAGAACACACTAGAAAAACCGTATAAATAGAATAGGATCACACGTAAAAAATAGAGAAATTTTATAAAATATATTGTTTGGAACATACGACTCTATGGGGACGGCATATGGTATGGAATCTATGCTATGGCAGATAGTGAAAAAAATGAAATTAGAGTGCATGTTTAGAATCCTTTAAAATTCCTACTTATTATTACAGGAACGGTACAGTATTTACCCATATATAGTTTGAGCAATTTCTAGCACCAAAAGTATGAATAGTGACAAATTTAAGGATCATAAACTTTTTTTTAAAAAAATACGCGTGGGTTAAATAGCATTCCCCGATACTCCATTGGTCCAAAAATAAGCAAATCTAATACAAAATGTGATACATCATAATATATTGAATCTGGACAAACCTCACATCCACATACCTCATGTTAGTATCAGAATATATCACATCATGTATTAGAGCCCGATTTTCTGATTAATGTATTAGGCCCCCGTTTTTTTCTGATTGAGACATATTACTCCCCCCGTCCCAAAATATGTAACATATAACTAGATAAAGCACATAGGGTGTGTTTGCAGGAACATGTTCCCAACCCAAATAGTGAACACGGAAAACGGAGCGGTCCATTAACACGTGATTAATTAAGTATTTCCTAATTTTTTTAAAAAAAATGGATCAATATGATTTTTAAAGCAACTTTCGTATAGAAACTTTTTAATAAAAAACGTATCGTTTAGCAGGTTGAAAAGCGTGCGCGCGGAAAACAAGAGTAGGGAGTTGGGAACCATATCTTCCAAACAGAGCCGTACTAATGCAACGAATCTGGATAGATGTATGGTCAGATTCATTATAATAGTGGTTAGATTCGTTATAATAGGATGTGTCGTGTCCCATCCAGTTTTTAGGCTGCTATATATTGATACAGATGGAATAGATTTTATACGCATTTCAAACTACTAAGTGGTGTATTTCGTGAAAAACTTTATATGCTGATGACTTTCTAGTTCTTGTGTCTTAATTTTATCTTCATCTCTTGTGAAAACGAATATATATAATTAAGATTTGTTTATTTTTGGATACAGAGGGTACTTGTGGCCGCAGGGAAATCAAATCACCGGCGCGGTGGGCGATGTGCACGTGCCGGCCGCGCTTGCCTCGCCTCGCCCCTACGGGCTACGGCCTACCAACCTTCGTGCGGCCCACCATCAGTCGGCCGCGCCGTTTCTCGCGCGGCGTCCCGCCGCGTGTGGGCTTCCACCTGTTTGACCCACCCAACTTGGCTCAAGCGGCGGCCCACTCACCGACTAGCCGTACTAGGCCGGCTAAAATCAACCGGGACCTCGCGGCCCGCGGCCTCACCTGCATCTGCATCTGCATCGTCGTGTACAGTCTCTCTCTCTGTGGCTCCGTTCTTTTTTCTCCGATAAAAGTTAAATTAAGATTAAGATTTTCGTGGCATGCTTTTTAAACTGCTAAATGATATCTATTTTTCAAGTTTGCAATAATTAAAACTCAACTAATTATACGTTAATATCACCTCGTTTTACGTTAAAAAACTTAATCTTCTTCTTTAATATGTGACTCTGTACACAGTCGTCAGAAGTTCAGAGATAGAGGTCTGCTACAGTCTTCTATTCGTCCTACGTGGCTATACCCGCCTATATACGGCCGAGCTGTACCTGATTTTTCCTTTGTGTTGAAAAACACTGCACAAAGGACAAAAGCAGGTACGGGGGAGAGGGGAAAAAGTGGTTACAAAATTCAGAAGAGGAAGGAAAAAAAAAAGAACCGTGACGCGCAGACACGGATGGCGCCAAATTCCGGTGTCCCTCTTTTCCTTGACAGAGATTAGAGAAACCATGTGCGTTCCTAGCTAGGTAAACACTTGTCCGAATCTCTTAATAAAATCCAGGGTTAGGGGCACAACACTAAACTTAAAAAACTGGAACTTTAAATAAGTACAAAGCTCTATGTTAATTGTAGCCAGCCTCATAGGCGATTGGAATCCCCCACAATCAATCTTATCTTTTCACTTATACTTATAAATTAGAATTTAAATTTTCAACCATAAATTTACAGTTAATTTTGGGATTTTTTTTATCATAGTTTTTTTCAGCCTTTGACTATAGATCGCTAGGAACACACTGGTAGAGAAACCATCTTTGGTCGGTCCACCCAAATCCACAATAGTCTTGGTTCCATTAAAAACCGGGACTAAAAATCATTTTTAGTCCCGGTTTATAACTGTAAGAGGACTATATCATCTTTAGTCCCGGTTGACTAAAGATGATCTTTAGTCCCGGTTCATGTCATGTCAGAGGCTGTCAGTCCCCTAGAGATCTTTAGTCCCGGTTGATGTTACCAACCGGGACTAAAATCCTAACTTTAGCCTGTTACCAACCGGGACTAAAGATCAAATATACCGTATATAATCCATTGCTGCTATCCTCAAAATTTTTTATCTCCTATTCCTCCTCCTCTCTCTCACACGGTCACACCTATCCTTATCCTCTTCTCAGACTTCTCTCTCAACACTTCAGACTCCGGCGAGGAGCTCAGCCCCGGAGTGCGGCAGCGGGGACCCGGGCGCGGTCGGTGGCCCTTGAGGAGGAGGCGGTGGGGGTCGTCCACGGCAGGAGGCGGCGGCGGCGGCCCACGGTGGCGGCCGCCCGCGGCAGGAGGAGGCGGCGGCGGTCGCCCGCGGCGAGAGGCGGCGGCAACGGCCGCCCGCGCAGGAGGAGGTGGCGGCGGCCCGCGGCGGTGGCCGCCCGCGGTAGGAGGCAGCGGCGGCGGTAGCCGGATTTTTCCTTTTTTTTTCTTTTTTTTAATAACTTGTGATTCATTGGATCTGGATCTGTGTTATTTGATCTGTGATGTATATGTGATTATGATTGTGATGTAATTTTTTTTAGAATTTGTGATGTTTTTTTCTGACAAATTGTGATGTGAATATTATGATTTGTGATGTTACTATTTGATCTGGGGATGTAAGGAGCATCTCGATTTCGATTTGGAATTTCTGATTGATTTTGTGATTTTGGAGAGATTGGTGTGAAATCAATATTCAAAAGAACAATGGAAAAAAAAAACAGGGACTAACTCTTTAGTCCCGGTTGGTGAGATTCTTCTCTTTAGTCCCAGATTGTTACTCCCGGTTGGAAAACCGGGATTATAGAGGGGTTTCCAACCAGGAGTAAAGAGCATTTCTCTACTAGTGACATGTATATAAAATTTTTATTCATAAATTATATTTCATTTCTATAAATATGTAGTTTGCCAAACGATGGAGCCGAATATGCAGAGAGGAGATTGGGGCTGCTTCAGGGAGTTTTTAGCAGCCGCATAGCTTCTATCACAGTAATCTTTTAAACAAAATTGAAAAGCTCTATCAAACAGTTTAACTTTTCATTTTAATTCCGAGAAACTGTAATTATAAAATAAAAATAATAATCTTAGAACTATACTCCCTCCGTCAAAAAAAAGACAAAACATGGTTTCCGTGTTAAACGTTTGACCGTCCGTCTTATTTGAAAAAATTATGAAAAAAATTAAAAAGACAAGTCACGCATAAAATATTAATCATGTTTTATCATCTAACAACAATGAAAATACGAATTATAAAAAAAATTCATATAAGATGGACAATCAAAATTGGACACGGAAATATAAGGTTTGCCTTTTTTTGGACGGATGGAGTAAGGTAGAACAAGTGTTTCAAGATTTTTATTAGTTGGATTTTCATGGGCCGTTTAATTTTTGTCAGAATTTATAGCTACCCAAACATACGCCAATAGACGCCGGACGCGGCTGGATTAGTGGTGGAAAAGAGGGGGAGTTTTTTTTAGGTGCGGTGCACATGCATGGAGCTACATGCGGAGTAGTCCAAAAGAGGGAGGCGTCGCCATCACATCGGCCTCTCAAAAACCTTTCAACTCATGCCGGCCGGGGATCAAATGACACCTCTCTCTCTCTTTGTTGACACTTGACACGCCTTCGCTTTTCCTCTCGGTCTGTCTATACTACGGCTAGTGTGTGTGTGTGTGTGTGTGGGGGGGGGGGGGGGGGGGGGGGCTACACTTGTAGCCAATCGATTGCCTACCCATTCAACCGCGCACTTTGGAATCTCTCCTCTGCAGCGTGATGCTGTGCAAGTCCAAGAGCTAGTCAAGTGCTATTACTACCTGCGACAAAAACAAGAGAAAAATCTATCAATGAATATAGGAGTAGTAACTTATAGCAAATGCTACCATGTGAGCCGATTTGTCCTAAAAATACCATCACCGTTAATGATGGTATTTATAAGATAAATCGACTCATACCATGACATTTTCTTAAAGGTACTTTCGTCGATGGTAATTTTTTAATAGGACGTTTATCAATAGTATTTTTGAACTTTCTAAAAAAACAAAAACTGATTGGTTTTCCTCGGTTACCTCCGCAATACAAACTACTCGATTTCTTGTTTAAGTTTAAATAGAAGTAACTTTCACATTAAATTTTATATTTGATAAAAATTAACCAAATTTTCTTAGGACTCAACGATTTCTGTGAAACCAGAAAACAGCCAACCACGGTTTTTGGCTCGAAAACTATACTACTCCCTCTGTCTCATTTTAAGTGTAGTTGTGAGTTTTTATATCTAACGTTTGACTGCTCGTTTTATTTGTATTTTTTTATTAGTACTTTTATTGTTATTAGATGATAAAACATGAGCAGCATTATACGCGTAACTTATTTTCTTAATTTTTTAATATTTTTTTAAATAAGACAGACAGTTAAACATTGGATATAAACTTATAACTATATTTAAAATGGGACTTATGGAGAACTATCTACTACTACTGCTTATGCTCTCGCAGTGATGGGGCTGAGAGCATAAATGGCCAAATGGGGGGATTGTTGCTGCCAATAATACCGTATTCTACTATCTTAGACTCTGGTTGTCTGATGTACTCCTACGAGCTAATTGCCCAACAGCTAATTTAACCATGAGTAGAGTACGATGCCTTCCGGCCGGGTACGCGCAACCAATCACGATTTGTGTGGGTCGTCCTCAGGCCTCACATGGCCACGCCACAATCATTCTTCCCCTCCCTTTACGGACGCGCTACACCTTTCTTTTCTTCACGCACTTCCACTCTACTCCTACTCCACTCCTTGATCAAAACCGATCCACGATTCCACCTACACCACGCCTGGGGTTGAGTTGTTGTTGATAAATGCATCCAAACTCACGCCCACACGAAATTGTGAGTATATGATGCAGCTGAATTGATATCCTTTGCAGCCAAATTTATGATGTCTTTATCACTGACATGTGGATTCAGGAATCAGTGATAAAGTCACGTGACTTTGACTGCAGAGGATCCGGATCCTAGCTCAAATTATGATGCAAATACAAATGATGTTCTTTTTTTTTAAGAGTCGTACAAGCTAGCCTGACCCGTGTACGCACATCATACTCACATGTCCACACGCGCACACCCATGTGAGCATAAATGATATTTATCACGATTCCAATTTTAGAATATGGAATGTGAGATTATTCACTAATTAGGCTTATAAAAGGCGGGTGTGGAAATACTCCCCATTCAAATATTTGATGTGTAGTATAAGATTTTATTGAACTTTTAAAAAACTAACAATCCATTTTGTGTTAGAATAAGTTTATAATATAATGATTCTTTTCAGGACGAATCTATATATATTTTTTTAAACGAATCATTCGAGAAATCATCGTTGATCGAAACCTAAAAAATTTAATAGTAGAATCTCATGTTAAATGCTAAAGATTTATGATCAGATGAGATAGTTAATTTCCTCCAGTTACATCCAATGATGTAATACGAATAACAGCCTAAACAAATAATTTATTTATTTAATTTTGTGTTTATACGGCAAATGCATACGCGCAAACACAAGAGACGGAGATCTCTTTATATTCATATTGAAAGTTCACTTACATGTGCATAGGATTTAAATCTTGGTGGATGAAATTATACAGAGGATGATTCTATACCATAATATTACTATCATTATAATCGAACTTACTCTCATATTATCTCGCACGTCAGTGTCTATGATGGTAGTTTCATTATAGCAAAGATACCAACCAAGTCATATATCAACGACTCCACCATCAAAGCTTATGTTTTCTCAGCCTAAACGAATTCGGAGCATATCCTACTCCCTCCAAAGAAGCAAATATGGGATAAGATAGTACTGTATACGACTTAAGCCAATGAATATGAAAAAATAAACTTGTTTTTGAACTGAGGGAGTCCTACTGATTTCTCTGTTTTGCTTGAATGGTCCAAGCTCTGTATATGCTGGTCTCTCTCTAGGGATAAAAAGAGTGACAGAAAAAAAAAAGGAGTGACAGAAAACTGAACTGAATAATAATGACCAAACCTGGGGGTAGCAGTGCCCAATACTGCTCCTACAAAGACACTGCCACATTCCTTCTCCTTCCTCCTGCATACTGTCTCTCTCTCTCTCTCTATCTGATCAGCTGTTCCGCTTCCTCCTCTTCTTCTCTCCCCCAACCCCGTAGCCCTCCCACCCATCGAGCCAGGCGGCGGCGCGACGGCCGGTGGCTAAGGCGGCGGCCGGTGCCAAAATCTCGAGCAATCGCGTCGCGCCGTCTGGCCGGCTTGCGACATCGCTCGCCCGAGAGCGTCGTCGTCTTCGAGCTTGTGCCGCGCGGCGCCGTCGCCGCGTGGTCCGAGGGCCCCGTGCCACCGCGTGCAGAGGGCAGAGGCCCATCGCCTCCTCCTCGAGCCACCGCGCTGCCGTGTGCCGTCCCCCTTGTCGTCCTCGAGCCCCTGCGTCGCCGCCGGCCGCCGGGGCTCCTCCTCCTCGTCCTCCTCGTCATCGACGCCCCAATCGGCACCGCCTCCTGGTCGTTAAAACCATCCTCGGGCCTTTCGCCAATTGGAAGGCGCCATCTTTTCCGCATTCTTTCCATCCGGATTCCGGCCGCTGTTGCTGTCTGGCGGAATATCTGTTTCGCCAGATTTTCTTGCGTTTCGATTTCTTTTTATTATTTTCCTGAGAGAGAGAGAGAGAGAGAGAGAGAGAGAGAGAGAGAGAGAGAGAGAGAGAGGGTTCCTTCCATTTCGCTGCTGCGCCAAAGAACACAACTTTCCCAATTCCTTTTCGCCTCCCTGTAGAGGCATGGAGTGGGACAAGGCCAAGGCGTCCTCCGGCGAGGCGGTGGACGACAGGGGCGGAGGGGAAGGAGGGCTCGGGTACGTGAAGGTGATGACGGACGAGCAGATGGAGGTGCTCCGGAAGCAGATCTCCATCTACGCCACCATCTGCGAGCAGCTCGTCGAGATGCACCGCGCCCTCACCGCGCAGCAGGACTCCATTGCAGGTCAGTACAGTTCACCGAGTAGCTTGGTGTAAGGGTTGCATTTACTCTTTCTGCAGAAAGGGGGGGAAAGGTACTCTGTTTATGTCGTGTACTAGTACTAAGTTTGTTTAGGGATGCATCATTGAGTCGAGTTTCAGATGGTCCCTCAGAAAAAGAAATTGTCAGATCTGTAGTAGTAGTAGTTAGTTTGCTTTTAAAGTTGGAGGCAATTTGGCTGGGACCTGTTTAACTATTTTGCAAAAATAACAGGGATCAAGTTTTTGTTTCAGGTGTTTTTAGCAGTTTGCTACTTCATGAACTGATCCCTATACATTGCAATTGCTCTTCCGATTATTATGTTACATTGCTTGGTAATTAAACTGAAAACCATAGAAAGTGCCAGAACATCAATTTGATGCATTGATAGGAAGTTGACAATAGGTTGGGTCCACATTGAATATTGAAATCCTAAATGCATCGTTTTTTTATCCATTATGCTTATTATGTTTGATTTATTTGCTGTAGGTCATATTTCATTGCTACTCTATTACATTTATTTATGTTAGCTGTAAAATTTATCTGGTATACTGTATTAGACACTACTCAGCATAGGCACGGTTATGCTTTTTTAAAATTTTATCCCATTTAGATTTATACTAGTATTTGTGTCCAAAGAGCAGTTCGAATGCAACAAAAGAAATTTAGTATAGTATCACTAGCTAGTGACTCAGAATTGTCATGTGGGACCATTTACCATTTTGTGACATGTGCACCTCCGCAATCTTCTGCTATCTGCAGAATTTGAGCTTGACATGCAGGAATCTCATAACATGTTACTTGTCTTTCACTTGGTCAAACACTAATGCTTCTGATGCAATTTTAATCATTTCATCACACTTGTACGTTTTTTTCGTACTTATCAATTTATATCAAGTACTTAGCTAGTTTTCTTTGAAGCTTATTAATATTTTTGTCCTCGAAAATTATGTGTAGTCATTGTGCATTACCCTTCTTTCAGAAAAGACTCCAAAACATAGTTTGTTTATCTAGGGCTCTAGGCATTTGCCCATTCTCTCTTTCTTTTTTTTTTAAAACTTTTCTTTGATCAATCTGCTGTATACGTTTTAATAGGACAGTTTCTTTGCTGTCAACTGAGAGTTGGTTTCTTCTTCAGGAATGAGGCTTGGTAATCTGTACTGTGATCCTCTAATGGTTCCCGGAGGTCACAAGATCACAGCAAGGCAGCGATGGACACCAACCCCAATGCAGTTGCAGATTCTTGAGAACATCTTTGACCAAGGCAATGGAACACCAAGCAAGCAAAAGATAAAGGACATAACAGCAGAGCTCTCACAGCATGGCCAGATCTCAGAGACAAATGTCTATAACTGGTTCCAGAACAGGCGGGCACGATCGAAACGGAAGCAAGCTGCTTTACCAAATAATAATGCAGAATCTGAAGCTGAAGCGGATGAGGAGTCCCCAACTGACAAAAAACCCAAATCAGATAGGCCGCTTCACCAGAACATAGCCATGAGAGATCACAATAGCGAAAGGATCTCGGAGATGCACCACTTTGACACGGAGCATGAGCAAATCCGTCGTATGATGTATGCATCCAATGACAGTAGCTCGCGATCGTCAGGCAGTTTGGGCCAGATGTCCTTCTACGACAATGTTATGTCAAATCCAAGTACCTCCTACAAACACCCTTGCTTCATTTGACACTGTAAAACCGCAAAGAAGTTACTGAAAAAGTTTGGTTTAATTTTGCAGGAATCGATCATTTCCTTGGTAAGGTGGAGAGCCCCGGGAGCTTCCCCCACATGCGATCCGGTGAAAGCTTTGATATGTATTGATGACGCGGCAATTCTGGATTCTGGTTACTAGGTTCGTTGCATTAGACACCATACTGTTTTCCCCTGTAAAAAGTGAAGCTGGTAACTTGCCGTTCATTTTGCTTACTGAAATTGCGAAGTTTGCCTTACGTCCACACGTTGGTTATCATGGTCTTGTCGACATTCTACGGAGAATAGCTAGTTCTAGTGTAAACCTGTTCTGTTGCTGAATTAGCTGCAAGAAGCCGATAAATAGCACTCTGCACACTTAGGTGTTAGGTGATTGTGTGGATATTTCTTGATGGTGAGTTTGTAACGATCTTCTTTCACTTTGTCCTGAAGGCTGAATCGATCAGCGCTACAAATGAGTTAGTAGTTTTAAAGGTTGCTCTTGTCCATGGTAAAGCTTTTGGTCTGATAAAGTCTCATGATCGCGTTGCCATCTGCCAGAAAATTGGAGTTTCTTCGATTGTGAAGATCATTGAGTTGGAGATTAGACAATGCTTGTTGATGATACTATGGGCATGTTGGCAAGTGGCATGGTTTGCCAGATTTTGACTAAACCAAATGTTGCTTCTTGACTATGTACAATCCTCTATAGCTTCAATGAGCAGTTTTCCCTATGTTGTCCTCATAGGATTTGCCTTACACTATAGTTTGAAAGGACTATGATCTACTAGCTATACAAATTCTCGGAATGCATCGTATCGTTTAGATGGGCAAATGGAATCATGAAACCGGTACTGTATTCATTAGCCTTTGAACCATTGTATTTATTTAGGTTCATTAGCCTTCTGTTATGTATTGAGCTTAGATATTTTGCATGTCATCCTGTCTTATTTTCACAAACTTGTTGGTTTCTCTTTAATTAGATTTTCTGGATTATGTATCTTTTAAATTCTTTTATGTTTTGTTACTATTTTTTGAATATTCCATCATCATAATTATTATTTAGATAATGAAAATATTTTTCACCTAAGGCCTCTGCCATGGGTCACACGTGTAATGAGTTTTTAATAAAAAGACAGAAGGTGGTAATACAAATCCTTATCTACACTTATCACTTACAAGCTGAAAGGTTTAAAATAATCACAAATATTCTAACAAATATGTTTATATATGTAGAATAAGAGATCCTTGACAACTGAGATTAGGAATGTAGCACTAACAAGTATAGTACTTCCTCCGTCTCAGTTAGAGGTGCCCCCTTTTTAAGAAAAATTAAACTCGATAACTTTTAACTAATAATCACACTAATTATATATATGCCAATTATTATGCATGTTATATCACTATATTCATATTTTAAAGTACTTTCATGTGATACTAATTTTATATTTGTTTGGCACATAACATGTGATAAATTAATGGTCAAAGTATATCATTGAAGACCATGTATAAGAAATATGTCTTATAATTTGGGACGGAGGGAGTATATTGATATTGGAGCCACATGGAGGACACGGAAATACTTTCGTAGGGTTGGAGAAAGATAATTAAGAAAAACCTTATTATTTCAACAACTCCAAATTAACGAACATAGGTACTCTAGTCCACCAAATAAAAACATTTTTTTCATGTGTCTAGGCACTCCTTGAGGAAATTAGTGCTACCAAAAATATTTGTCAGGTGGCACATATGAAACGTAGTAAGGAAAGAAGAAAAATATCTTAGCAGTGTCTTAATTTGCCTGGTGCCATGCCAGGATCAACTTCACATCTTCTTCAATTCATGACAAATCAGTCAGGAGAGTCCGAATCCGCGGGGCTGGCCGTGGTGGTGGTGTGGTGTGCGTGCGCTGGTGCCTGGTGGCTGCCTTCCTGCCCATGTGCCATGCAAAGCATGTGCCTCACACGGCCACAACCCCCCGCTCACCCGCTGTACGCGCCGCTTCATCAGGCAGCCCCGCGCGCGAGCCCCCCACCCACGTACAACGTCGCTGTTGCCTCCGCACGCAGCCGATCGAGGCGTTGCCGTGCCCGACTGCTGCTGCTGCTGCCGCGCCCGCGCGGCTCGCCTCGCCGCTGTCGCTGTGCGTCGCGGCCGTCCGTCCCATGCACGTCCGTAGCGGTAGCGGCGACGCGCGAACGTACGGGGCCACTCGACGTCTCGACCCGGTCTACCTCGCGCGCGCGGCGGGGGGTTGGCTACCGTGGCCCGGCCTGCATTGCCGCTGGTCTGAACAAATGGTGGGGGGCTCTCGCCGACACGAAACGATCTCTGCATTGCCGGCCGGCATTTGCCGCCGGTCTGAACAACGGTGGGCCACCGAGGCAGCAACGACACGCGGCAGATTCGGAACCAATAAGGGCACCCATAATGGTTATTCATAGACTCTCTACAAGAAATCCATATCAGTATATTTTTCTACTTGGAAGGTATAAATGGAGAGAGAGAGCAAAACTATCTACTAACTTAGAGATAGTCTATAGAGAAAAACGAGACAATGCATAAGAGAGCTATAGATACTAATATAGACATACTATTAAGGTTGTTTACTATTAATCGAGTCTATTGCTGAGATGTACATGTTTTATGTTTTATAGAGAGCACCTTACTTTATCATTGCGGGTGCTCTAATACGGACGTGCTTGCGTTAGCCATTATTATAATTAATCCTGGTCTGAACAAATGGGTAAGGCCGCGTACGTGCCGATGCCGGCCGGCATGCCGCCGGTCTGAACAACGGTGGGCCACCGAGGAACCAACGACACGCGGCAGATTTCGAACCAATCATAGAGACGTGCTTGCGTTAGTAGCTAAGGCCATTGTAATTAGTCCTGTTTAACAAGAGCTTTTAGGCTGTGTTTGTTTCTGATGGTTGAAAACGCTCCCCTCGCACGAAAAGCAGAGCAATTTATTAGCACTTGATTAATTAAGTATTAGTTAAAAAACTTAAAAAAATAAATTAATATGATTTTTTAAAACAACTTTTCTATAGATTTTTTTTTTATAAAATACACATCGTGTACTAGTTTGAAAAGTGTGCACACGTAAAACGAGAGAGATAAGTTAGTAACAGTAGAAAACGAACTTAGCCTAAGAAGCTGTATTTTCTTTTTAGGATCATCAACTCACGTCCCAAATAGTTGAGATTATCAATCAAACTGTCAGAATCTGCAACTATAGAGTACAAAATAATTACAAGTTAGAAGCAGAGTAACTTCACTCTTATAGGTTCTCAAAAAGTTGACCACCAAACAACCGCTTCTTAAAATTTAAACTCGCCAAACAGGATCTAAACGTTGGTTGCAAGCATTCATGATTCATGATTCATCTATGGGTTAATTACAACAGCGGCCAAATCACCCACTGTAAAGACCAAGAAATCACCTGGAACAGCAGCAAGACCACTCACTCACTCACTCACTCAGGAGTACGTGCTACTACCATACAGCTAATTTACACCGGAAGAAAATTCCCTTCCATTTTACACCCGACGACGCGAAAAGGAGAAAAAAAAACGTTACGTTAGCCCGGCACGCAACGCTACCGGGGAGCCACCGTGCCGGAGGGGATGCCGCTCTTGGAGTTGGCGTGGCCGCCGCTGCCGGAGGAGATGAAGAGGGCCCCCGTGGTCGACGACGACGACAGCGGCCCGGTCGCCGTCAGGGAGGTGGAGGTGGCCGACTGATCGCCGTACTCCGGCAGGAGCTCCTCTCCCTCCGGCAGCGCGCTCCGGATGGCGTCCAGCTCCCTGACGACGTCGGCCATGGACGGCCTCGCGTCGGTCTCGTCCTTGCAGCACTTGACGGCCAGCGAGGCCAACCTCGCCACGCACTCCGGCGAGCTGGAGGAGGATATCCGCTCGTCGATCACTCCGGCGATCTCGCCTGATTGGTATGCCGTGTTCACCTGCGACAAAAAAAATAAGGTGTTCAGTTATAAGTTTATGGCTTCTTGATGACAATATGACATTGTTCAGATGGATTAGTTTTTGCACAAAGATGAAGGATCAGGTTGGAAACATTTCCTTACCTCTCTGACAATGTTCTTGCCATGCTGGATTGGCTTCATCCCAGTCAATAGCTCTAGAAGCACGACGCCGAGGCTGTACACGTCGCTCTTGTCTGTCAGTTTGTGAGTTAGGAAGTACTCTGGATCAAGGTAGCCCTGCCACCAAAAGGAACAATGGATAGTTATTGTAGAGTTTCGTGTTGTCTGACGAGGAACACAAATGTGGGATCATGGTGAGTTTCAGTGTTGCCAGGTGTAGTGGCACTTACTGGGGTCCCCTTAACAACGGTGGAGATATGAGCTGGCATGGTTCCATCGACATCCGGTACTGGCGCAAGCCTTGAAAGACCAAAGTCTGCGACTTTCGCTACAAATTTGGAGTCCAGGAGGATGTTGCTGGCCTTAACATCACGGTGAAATATAGGAGGATCTGCTTCGGTGTGTAGATAGAGGATTCCCTTTGCAGCACCCAGGGCAATATGTATCCTCTGGCTAAAGTTCAGAGGTCTTCTTGACTTGGCTGTGAAAAAGCGCAATACATATAAGGTGCTTGGCATCCAACGCAAGTTTAAAACTATGTATTTTTTATAAAGAAAAAGCAAAATATACAACATATAAATTTTAGCAGATGGTCTGGAATCATAGTCAATATGTAAAAGTGCGCAATGGATGTATGGAGAAAAATTCAGATGCATTTAAACGTGTCAATGGTCACTTACCAGAAAGGTGATCACGCAGAGTACCATTCGGCATGAACTCATACACCAGCATCTGTGAAACATAGTTCTATGTGAGCAACGATTATTACAGATCTCTTTTGTATATATGGCTAATTTAGCAGATTTGGGCAGCTGTGGAACTCTCATTTTTAAGAACGTTTATCACAACATCACAGTTTATAGAGCAAATTAAGTAACTCAAAGATTGAGAGGCACCTGTTCATCTTCTTCATCACAATAGCCAACCAGAGAAACTAAATTACGATGATGTAGTCTTGATAGCAATTCTATTTCTGTGCAGAACTCCTTTGAACCTTGAAGAGAACCTTCGTGTGCCCGTTTGATTGCAACAGCTGTTCCATCAGTTAGATTTCCTTTATAAACTTTTCCATAACCCCCTTGACCAACTTGAGCTGAATCAGTAAAATCATTTGTCGCTGCAGCCATTTCATCAAATGTGAAGCATCTCACACCATCAACCTTGACAGAATACCTTGAGAGTACTGCACGATGATATATTGATATGTCTTTAGATGCTGTAGTTTGAACTGTCTACTACAAGCCTAAAAAATTACTTGCTACAGCACTGCAACATTTTAGATTTTCTTTCACCTATAAAAAATCCCAATCTAATTTATTCAAATGAGGTCATGGAAAGAAGAAACACAGCTCAGTTACTACTTCCAATATTGCAAAGTATTAGAAACTACTAAATGATGCTCCTACACATGATTGGTTCTGATATTTCTTTTTCAGCTTAGGTTTCTGTTCCTAAGGTAGCCACTGCTACCTATGTAGCACATGGAAAGCTGTCTGCATAAAAAACATGATGTCTTACATGACCGCCTAGATGTAGTTCGACGTTTGGAACGTCTTCTCATTATAAATATTGTAGTAAACACAGACGCTGCAATGGAAGCAGTGATTGTCCCTGCCAAAATACCAGCTAATGCGCCCCTCTTTAGACCTGATGACGCCACAGTTGGGAATTCTGCAAAATAAATTAAAAAGATATAAAAATAAGGGTAATTTTACCATCCTTAAAAAGGTAACTAGAGGTACCATATTTTTTAGTGTAAAATTTGGTATCTTCAGATATCAAAAAAAATTAGTGTAAAATTTAGGTACCTCAAGGTACTTTCTCAAGAACCGTAAAATTTCTCTAAAAATAAAGCCGCAATATAGTGGGTTACTAAAATGGGTAGAATATTTTGTTGAGCAATCTGAAATGTGTAGTGGTGAACTATAAGCCAAGAAGTTATATATTCTTAATTCCTTGGTTCAAAACCTTCATAATCATTTTTTTTTTAATTCTTGGGCAGTGTTTCACCCGTTGAAGACCTTGAGGAAATGCATATCGGGGTATGGGTGTGAAAGGGCATGTAGCCTAGTGGTTGCAATGACCTGAGTAGTACCCTAAGGTCCTGAGTTCAAATCTCCATAGGAGCGAATTTCGGATTGGGTTATTTGATGGCTAAGTTCCCTATTTGATAGGCCAAGTTCCTAAATTAAAATAGCTGCATATATTCGGTTGGATATAGAGACCGGGTAAAAAATACCCTTCTCTAAAAAAATATATATTTCCATTCATCTATCCTCTCTTGAAATATTGTGGCAGGGTAAAAAATACCCTTCTCTAAAAAAATATATATTTCCATTCATCTATCCTCTCTTGAAATATTGTGACAAATTGTCATCTAGAAACTAACCATGATGACAAATATGTCGTAAGATGAAAAGTAGTAACCAAGACTGATTATGTTGCATGAGATCATTATCTACTACTCCCTCAGTTTCATATTATAAGTCGTTTGACTTTTTTTTAGTCAAACTTTATTAAGTTTGACTAAGTTTATAGAAAATTTTAGCATCTAAAATATGAAATTAGTTTTATTAAATCTAATATTGAATATAGTTTGATAATATGTTTGTTTTGTATTGAAAATACTATTATATTTTTCTATAAATTTAGTCAAACCTAAAGAAGTTTGACTAGGAAAAAAGTCAAATGACTTATAATATGGAACAGATGGAGTACTATGTATCATGTTCTCTATGAATACCATAGGGCAGAAAAATCAGGTTAAAAATGAAAACTATGTATCCTTTTGTCTTGGCAAAAGATTTACACATATGGTGTGACACATTTCAACTGTTAGTTCATAATGGCATCCTTTGGTGGAAAAGTAAATTGTACATACCATCTTCATAGGAACCAAGCGTGAAGTTGAGAAGTTCATACGGACCAAACACATTTGATAGAGTAATCTCCCATCCAGCAAGTAGATGTCTGAGCCGCACAACCTCGGACGTATTGAATAAATTTGTATTGTTTGGAAATAACTTCAAATGCATATTCAGCCTTGGACCGACCTCCCATATGTACCGTTCCATGTATATTTGGTAATCAGCCAGGACCAACAGATGGGCTAAGTTTTTCTGAAAGTCTTCCTTATAGGGACGGAAATCTGAGATCCCTGGACTCTTCAACCGAAATCCAACTCCCAGAGGCACAGCACAGAAACAAGGTAGGGGTGATGATGGATTGTATTCATAATTTTTATCCGTTGGGCAAGGAGAACAGTTTATGCTAACTTGTGATCCCTGTCCAGATGGAGCTTCAGTTACAGATGTGGGTTGGCAAAGACGAGCAGCTCGAGCTGGAGTAGAGTTTGTGCATACAGGGTTCCCATAAAGCCTGAAAAAAGAAGATGATGATGGTAATTGATTGTTTGTCAGGCCAGTAAAGATTCAATTGAAAAACAAGTGTGATTCTTTTGACATATAATCTTGAATACGAATAGCATTAACATCTGCTAAACCAGCTATAATTAGACAAATGCTAGTAGTCAGCAAATTGTTTCAAATCTTCAGTATGATAATTTCATATTGCAAACAAATATACAGCTGAATAAGGGCTGTTCATGTGTGCGCAAGAAGGCAAACTGATAAAGACACATCTCCATGGTAAAGAAACATACAGAATAGTGACTTCTTCTGGAGGCTCAAATGCAGCCGGAATATTTCCAAGAGAATTATTTTGGAAGTCCCTGCATTATTTAAGTAATATACGTTACAAATGCATATATCTCTAATAGAAAGCAGAAAGTACAGTTGCAAGTATCATACACAACAAGGCTTCGATTTCCCACAAAAGTGATGTTACTCCAAATTGTCGATGGAACAGCACCATCTATGTGATTTCCTTCAATCGATCTGAAAAATAATCATATACCTCTAACAAATAAGTAACAGAACAGTACTGGCCAACAAACAACACAAGTTCAACAGATAAAGCATTAATTTACGATGCCAGGGCAGGTTGGCTGTGTAGTATATAAAAGCATTGTTGACACGAAAGAAACATGTAGCAAGTTAAATATTTACTTACAGGAATTGAAGATTAGGCAGCCCCGAAAAGCTTGATGGAATAGTTCCATTAAGAGAGTTATGTGACAAGTCACTGTCAAAAACTAGAAATTAGCTTTTCTTTAAAGGGAAAAATACAAGTAAAAAATCATTGCTCTTATAAACGACGATGTACATTGTAGTGACGTTTGAAGCAAGTTTATTAGTTGGTATAGATCCTGTCAGTTGGTTCCAGCTAAGATCCCTGAAAGTACTTGACAGAGTTAGTTAGTAAAGGTGTGTACACAATAACCTCCTGGATTATTCTCATTCATGAAGTGAATGGCCAATCTTAGGATTTGAACCTTGCTGGGTGGAGTCATGAACCCATGACTAAACCACCACACCAATGGTGCGCTTCCCCCCTAATAAAATGAAATGAGTGATATATTTGATCTGTACTTACAAATAGCCAAATTGAGGAATGCCACTTATATCTGGAATACCTCCTTGCAAATTGCAATTCCTAAGACTCCTGGTAAAGTGAAAAGGAATATCTACTGAGCACATATCTTTGTCTGAGTTTAAGAATGATAGAGATTGGATTCTGTTGTTTTGTATTTCCTGGACTTCTGATATAAGTCTACAACAACCATATCTACTAAACCTTAGGTTGTTAAGGTAAGAAGATTGATTTTTACTCCTTTTGTTTTCTTTTTGTCTTTTCCAGTGAGGAATCTCTACTCATCGTGAGCCTCAACATATCAAACTTCGAATGGAATCTGCTTACATTAATCAATTATATTATGTACCATGTTAATCTTCTCCATCCAAACTTAAAGGTGGCCTATGTACTTTCTAAAATAATCGAGTCCCCTGCATCTACAAGTAGTAAGAAGAACAAAAGTACAACATGAACTTGTGAAAGAAAGAAGGTTGGACTCACAGCTTTAGAAGTGTTGGTATGTTTTCGTATGCAGCAGGGATGGAACTTCCGCTGAAGTTATTGTTATCAGCCTGACTTTAAGTAGCACATATAAGAATTGAGTGTCACAAGCTAACAGAGTATCAAAACGCTACCCAAGTGGAAAGCTCTGTGCTCATAAAAAGTCATGTAAACCCACATATACATAAAAGTAAAGGAATAAAAAAATGCTCTATCTGTCTAGCAAACAATAAAATTGCCTTAGTTTTAGATAATGGAATATAGCATCCTGGCCACTGCATCAGAAGATGCAGAAAACCACACCTTAAATAAATTTCTGGACTTGATATCACATGCTCAACAAATTTGCAGTACCATTTAATTTTTTTTTCAGGAATACGTGAGGCGCACATTTTTTCATTAAGAGGAATAAAGTTTATTTACAAGTAACAAATTTAAAAACAGCACGGGACCGATACTGGAATATAAACAATAAGAGCTAATCTCGCAAAACTATTGTGCTACCACGACCTCCTGGGAGCTGCGAAGTGAGGGATGGAATCACCGAGTTTGCCGCCCGCCAGAGCGCTGCTTCTTCGGCCATTCCTTTCGCAATGTCGACCCATGTCCTGCTCTCATTGTTGAACACTCGATTGTTCCGTTCCTTCCAAATTGTCCAAGCAATCAGAGTCGCTATTGTGTCGAATCCCCGACGATGTGGTTTGTGGACCTTCTCCCTTGCGCTGCATAACCAGGTATGGAAGGATGCTTCGTTTATTGGCAGGCAATCCTGCAGCCTTATCGCGCGCAGCGCCCACCACCAAGTTGCCTTGATTCTGGACAAGCGACCAAGATGTGATCGATGGTTTCTTCGTGTTGGTCACAAAGCACGCATCACAGAGGATGTGGGAGCCCGCGGCTGCGGAGGCGATCGGCAGTCCAACATCTATTCAGCGCTACCAACCAAAGGAAGTATCGGCAGCGTGGTGGTGCGAGGGAATTCCATATCGGTGCCGATTGGAATTGGATGCGACCAAAGAAGAGGGCCTGATAGGCTGATTTGGAGTAGTTGCCAGAATTCTCCCATCTCCAAAGCAGTGTGTCCGGTTCTGTGGCCGTTCGATCAACCGCTTGGATTATCGACCAGAGATTCAGATATTCAAGGATGGCTTGAATGCCGAGGCCACCTCGGATATCTGATATCCAGGTTCGGTTGAGCAATGCCTCGGCAACCGTTCTTCTCTTCCGAATGCGCACTGGAATCTGGTTGAAGAGGGATGGCGCAATGGAGCGGACCGCCCCTTCCTTTAACCAGCAATCCTCCTAGAATAGAATGGAAGTGCCATTGCCAACGAGGCATATCGTTGAAGCGGCCACAAAATTCTTCTCCTTCTGCGAGCCCGGGATGGTTAAACCTTGCCAAGGTTTTCCGGAGGAAACTCGTTGCAGCCATGTCCAACGGGATCGAAGGGCGATGCCCATGAGCTCAAGATTTGGTACCCCCAGCCCACCATACTCCTTTGGCGAGCAAACTTTTGCCCATGCGACCCGACAACAACCTCCCTTGGCCTGCACTTTGCCAGCCCATAAGAAGCCGCGACGAATTTTGTCGATGCCCTTGATTACCCACTTAGGGGCGTCAATAGCGACCAAGAGATATATAGGTATAGCGCTCAAGACCCAATTGGTACCATTTAATATTTCTAAATTTGAAATTGAAGTTATCATCAGTCAGCTTCAAGCAACTATAAACCCATGATACTCTTAATTAAATGAAGTGATAGATATCAGTCCAAAGAAAACAGGAGACACATTCTGATGCGCTGTAGGTAAATTTTTAAAAGCAACATTCGGGTAGAAAGAAAAATACACTTACAGTATTTGTAAACTGCGAGTCTCTGCTAGTTCTGGAGGAAGAGGTCCAGACAAATTGTTACTGTCCACAAGGCTGTCAAGTTTGTGGTATAAGATAAAATTAATTACACAGCTCATGCTAAAAAAGGTAAAAAAAAACACAAGTGAAGTCCCACTTACAGATGGAGGAGTTCAGGCAATCTTGACAATTCAGATGGGATTTGCCCACTTAATGAGTTATTGTTCATGTGACTGATGGTAGAAGAAGAGTCAAGATTATAATTAAGTTTAAAATATGGGGGCAACATGGGGAGGAAAGATCAAAATTTAAATATTTATACTTACAGATGTCTCATGCTTGTTAAATTAGCAAATGATTTAGGTATGGGTCCTGATATTTCATTTTGGTCTATCTGTAATCTGTTCAAGTTTTGGAGATAGCCAATCTCATCTGGTAAAGAACCAGATAGCTGATTACCGTTCAAAGTTCTGCAAAAGTTATTGCGACAACAGTCAACATTTTGTTATATACGAGCACCTATTATCCTGGATGCAATTCATATAAAGAAATTTACAGAATTTCTGCAAAGAGAACTACAACATTTACTGCATGTTTAATGCTTGGGAAACAGGTAATAAAAGTAATCCTCAAAATAAAATAGTGTCGCATGGTGTATAAAAGTTCTAAGATATACTGCATTAAACTAAGATATGTCAATATTCAGCTATTAATTCATGGCAATTTATATAGAATACTTTACAGTGCATACTTTTCCTTTACAAATTTTACTGAAATTAAGCGGTTGGAATAAACTCTCTGTGGTCTCATTGAGATATCATTTTACACAAAAAGGGGATCAATTTATCCTTGTAAAAGTGTGTTGCCGGCTTTGCTGGCATGTAACTCTGCTGTAGCTTGTAACATTTTCTCCCTTTCCTCTTCATAAATTTCGGCTGGCTCTCTTACGCCAGCCCGGCGAAAAATTTATCCTAATGTTTTACCCGTGGAAATATGCAACCACTATTAACTGTCTGCACATCTCTCTGATAGTACTGTCAATTAGCAACTGATTGGGATATTTAATAGAAAATGTTCCACTGAAAACCCAAAACAACTATTTAGAACCAAAACGAACCTACCAAAATGAAATATCTTTAAGCTATAGCTAGTATATTATTGTAAGGATCCTATATGTCCAAAGCTTAGTACTATTAGCCCCATCACAGTACCTTTGGGTTAAGAAGGGCAATCCGGACTTTGTCCATATGTATATAAAATACTTGCTGACAATGAAGAAACCTTTAGATTCCTAAGCTTATGTGGTTTTGCAAGATAAACTGTAAGATGCTGCGGCCTGTGGATAATGTGCACACTGAAAAGAGAGCACAAAAATTGGATTGCACAGATGAAACTTACATAAGCCTGAGTGTGTGGATATTCCCTATCTCTTTCGGTATGTTACCAGTCAAGTTGTTCCACATGAAATCCCTTTCAAAAGAACAAAATATAGCAGTTAGGTACCAAAATTTTGGAAATGTAACAAAAGAAAAGGCTTCACGAGACTAAATGCACAATAAGAGTCAACCATGCAAGAAACAATTCCTTTATGTCCCAGTTATTATATTATGTAAGTTTCTTCTTTCTTGTGAGTCAGAATTATGTTTTTTTGCTTAAAATATACTAAATGTAGTACCCCATGAGATACAATATTATCTTTAAATTCAGTTAACTATTCCAGCTTTCTATCAAGTTGGTACTTACAATGTTTTCAATTGAGATAGAAGACCGATCTCTGGTGCCAAAGTCCCAGAAAGATTCATCTTAAATAACTGCCTGCATCCAGAAAAAAGTATGCAATTTCAAGAGAAAAAAAATAGCATGATATTGGCAATCCAATTATCATATTGCACATCATACAGAATGGACAGAAGTAGATAATAAACAGATATCAGAATGCAAAATGGATTTCATTAGAGAATGATCACGGCTTTGACCAAAACATGAAAATAGCAACTTAGGCTAAAAGTAACTAGAGGTATGTGTCATTGATGATAGCGAACACAATGGGAACTTGAATTATTTTACCCAGTCAAGGCTGAGGTATTCTTTTTTTTTTCAGAAAGACGCACGAGGGCTGCGCATTTTGCATTAAGAGGTAGAAAACTCATAGTACAGGTGATGAACCTGCTTAAAGAAAAAGAGAGAAAGCCAGAACCTCTGGCTGGAGCTAAGACAATTATACAAACAACAATTGCAGAGGGCTCACTCAACAAGTACTTGGGAAAGAACAAACCACCGTTACCACTAAAAAAAGAGGGAGAAGAGTAAGCGTATAAAATAATAAGGTTGAAAGATTATCATACAATTCTGTTACATGAAGATAATTATTTATTGGTATATTGTCACAGAAGACTCCTTTCCAACTTGATGTGCATGGATCTCCACTATTCCAATTCTTAAGATTATTCATCGGATCAATTAATCTTCCTTTGATAGCTCTGAGAGCATTTACTGCACATAAGAGGGAAACAGTTCAATTCACAGCAGTTTTAAAATTTTAAGTATCTGAGTCAATATTACTGTTTAAACTAAGCATCACACATCTCAGCAACAACAAAAAAACTAATAATGATTATTCTTACTTTGATTGCACAGCTATCTTCAGATTATCTATTAAAAAACTATTCTTCAGATATTTCTTTGGAAGAACTACTGGGAAGCAACCCTTTCAAATAGTTATTATTCTACTTCTCTAACAAAGTTGTTCATACCAGATTAACTAACATAATGTTATGTAATTGCCAGGCAATATAATGTTATGTAATATTGTAAGTTTACTTACAATATTGTGAACTTCTTTAATTTAAAATCTGTAATATTATGAACTTCTTTAACTCTGAATTAAAAACATGTTATATCATGAACTTTTTAAATTACCACATGAATATAACTGATTACTGGTGTGACAACAATTGAGTGTGCGGCAATTGATGGCATGAACATTGTAGAAACGGACAATTCACAACAGGTTCAGATGGGGGGGACGGGATCTTCGAGATACTTTCAAAACATAGCACTACTTACAAAAAGATATGCTTAAATCCGCACAGATGGGATATGCATAATTGAAACTTTGAAAGCTTAAAGCCCAATTCTGTCTTCCTGAACTATAGAACTAGTAGCTATTCTGAGCTCCGGCAATTCAAACTGCCTGGCTCAAAAGTATAACAGAAAGCAAGCAAGCAAATGCAGTACAGCACATGTCCTACTAGAGATTACTGTATATTACCTTCAGCAGGGTCAGTGCTCTGTCCCCTTACGACATTCACATGACAAATGCACAGAACAACCACGATCACTGCGCGCCGAAAACCTCTGAAGTTCGCCATGTCTGTACAAGAGAATCAGGAGCAAGTGATCAGCAACTTAGTCATCCCTGCACGATCCAGACATCCAGCACGCTTGCTACCATTCTAAATGATCGATTAGTCCAAAATGGAGGCGCTTATCCTACCCACAGAAGACTAGCATCCAGTATCTAAGGTGTGAAAGCGTGTCAACTCCATATGATGCTTAACGCGCCTGACCTAACCATGGTGTGTTCAAACCAACAACCATGGAAAAAATATGGCCCGGGCACAATCAAAATCAACTCTCCTCTTGACTAAAGAAAAGTAAGCGAGCTTGCAAGTTACTTAAGCTCCTCCACATAAGGTGAAAACAACCTATTAACACTGACAGCAAGAGCCACATCACAACCAGCAACTGGGACTTCCCAACTAAGCCTGCAGACTGTACGGCACAAGAGCACAGTACACAAGGTTCAGGACTTCGAGCTACTAATGGTTGTCAACGTTAGGTAAATTTTTATGGCGACAAATATGCCCTTTTCCGCATACCTTCTCCGTCGAATATTTTCACCAAAAGTACCAAACTTTTATAGCTTCAAAGGTACAGATACAAAGAAGAGAAGCGAGGAGCCGAAGAAGACCAAGAAGCTAGGAGAACAACGAATAGGGATAAAAAAAAAAATCCAAGCCTTCTTTTTTTTTTGGCAAATAGCGAGAAAACTGTAATCTGAAGTGAAATTTCAATCCAAGAAAAGAAAACAACAAGATCGAACTCACACTAGAAACAAATCCTGAACAAACCAACCGCACAATCCTCGAGGAATCGAAGAAGCGAACCTGCAATCAAACGCAGACCGACCGGCCGCTCCAATCCGAACAGCGATTTGCAGCAGCCCCCCGATCGGGGAGCACCAGCCGACGAGGCGCCCGGCCGGAGATTGCCCTCACCAACGAACTCGGGAAAGGCAGGCGAGAGCGAGCACCGCACCTTCACCCACAGCGACAACCCCCGCGGCGCGGGGGGACATATACTACTACTGCTGCTGCAACTTTTCAGCCCGTGCAGCTGTCGCATTCCTCCCCCAATCCCATCCGCACCCCACTCCCTTTCCTCCTGGATCGCGGCAGCTACAGCGACGAAGGCGAAGGCGAGGTCGAGGCGAAGCTCTGGGTGCGGTGGGTTGGTGGGGGAAGGTTGTGCTTTGGCGAATTCGGGGAGTTATTAATGGCGGCTTCTGCTTCATGCGGCGCGCTAAAATACTTTGGATTAGTAGGAGAGCCCCCCCTTGGCGCCATATTTTATTCAGTCAAAATTGCATCCAGGACCTCGGAGGATAGAGTATTTACGCGAATAGGTCCCCGTGCTCGTGTGAAAGAAGGAAGCGAGGAGGAAAGTAGAGTTGGGAAGGAGTCCGCCGCGGTTCAACCATCGGCGACCGCATTCGCCTCGTGCGGCCGGACTGAGTCCGGTGATCTCCTCCTCTGACAAACCGGGCCCACAGGTCAGGTCTTATTATTTTTTATTTTTATGAGAAAATAAATGTATTCAATACATCCTAAAATTTTCATCTAGAATGAGATGTAACATAATCTAAGTACAACGAATCTAAACAGAGCTTCCATTAAAATTCAGTTCATATCCGTTGTACTAAATTATATCCCATTTTATTTTAGGTTGATTTTTTTTTTGACGGATGTAGTAGAGGAGAGTGACCTGGCTTGGTTGCTTATCATGTTTATTATACGGTGAGATGATGCAACTGATGGTTGGTACTTTTCTGGTGGTAGTTTCGATTGTTCTGTGCTTTGGGGGGTGTTGACGGATGCATAGTGATTATTTTGTAATTTAGTAGCAATTGTCTAAAAATCGCACAAGAGAATTGTCATTTAAGATCATGAATATAAAATGATTGATTGTAAACAGCCGTCACTATCCCGTAGCAGCATCGCAATAATTTGTTCGTAGCATCGTACGGTGGCACAGACAAATGGAATCAAGAACAAGCATAAAGTACAAGATTATGAGATTAGCTTGACAGAAGCACTTGATCAACTCTCTAGCTAAGTCTAGAGTTGAGCTGAAAACGTCCTAATTCTGAATTTTCCTGACAGTTTCAAATGTAGCCAGTGCCCTTCTGCACTAGTTGAGTTTATTTGGAATTAAAATTACCCAAACAAATTAAGAGGTCAAATAATTTGACCGGAGACCTACTCCTTTACCTACTTTCACTATCTCATAAATTACTGTGTGTTTACCAAGCTGTGCTCGATTTGACACTGTTCATCTGTAGTATTTGACACTATCCAAGTGAAAAATAAACGAGCAGACTGCTTCTCCAACAACCTGTGGAACGACTTCACTAAGAACACTACCTATGATTTCATACCGAACAACTTGGGACTTAGCTGACAAAAGTCCATAATTTCATAGCAACTTGTTAATTCGTTTCGAAAAATACCAAGTTGGTAACAAGATGATCTAGAGGATATGATAACAATGTCCACGCGGCTCATTAGTAACCCCCAAAAAACAGGGGTCGACTAACAAAAAGTCAGAGAGACAAACACAAGCTGTAGTTTTCAGCTCCAGTTGAACGTGACCAGAGAAAAAGAAATTGCCGGCCATGATCTGTTCGGCTGATATTTTTTTCTGGGAGCCATATCGAGTTGCTTTCTAGTACGGGTCGCATTGATCAGTCCAAGATAATGACACTTGTGTCTGCAGGGATGACACTTTGACAGATGTTGAGGCTGCACACTAAAACTGTTCCCCTCCTATAACCAAAAAAATTAGGAACATTGACATACCATTAATATACTATTAGACCAGTCTTTTTCAATCTACGGAGGCTGTGAACAGTGTGACCATATGATGACGAACTGATGATGTGGTCTTGTTGTGAGGCTCCCATGGTTTTCAGAAAACAAGACTGGTTGAAGTGTTCTAGTTCCGTGCACAGAAATTATGACATGTTTGTAGTGTTTAAATTTGGTTCTGTATTACACTTATATGGGCTAGTAACATCTTGTGTTGAAATGACATTACAGCTGAAGTGTTGGATACGCTGCAACTAGAGTACAACAAATGTTCAGAAGAAGAGTAGCTTGGAAGATATTTCAACCGTGTAGATGTTTCATCTCCCTCAGACAGATGTTTCATTTCGTTTTCATGGTGCAGATTTGATAACAACCGTGTAGAATAAAACCAAGATTATAAGTCAATTTTTTATTAATACTCAAGATGGATACGTCTGTGTTTCGCAGCTGCTTCTGGATGGCCCGGGTTGGTTAACTTACCTCAACTGCTTAATATCTTCGGGGAAACTGATATGCTTCTGAAACCCAACTGTTCTTCAGAGATTAGCTATTCCATTTTTCACTTGCGAAGCTTCTTTAGAGAAAAAAAATTGTTCACTTGCCTATGATCCATGGCACGGTATCTTCACTGATTGGTACATACAACCAACACAACGCGACTAACCTGCGACTAACATAAGATTGGAGTGCTTAATCACTTTAAATCTGTCAAAGAGCACGCGAGTTTGACTGCAGATTGCAGCTTCACACCGACGACGGTAAAAAGTGCAGACTTTACCAGTTTTGTAAGTGGATTTGGGGCATCTATCTTTCGCCTCTTCACCTTTTCTTGTAGTGAGATACGCGATGATCTTGCATATTCTCAGCAACAGAAAAAAGGCAGTAAAATATAACACTTGTCCTCCAAATTGGGTGATACAGCCAAGAGGAAACGGTTCTGAAGATGATTATACTAATCCTGATGTGGTGATGATATGGTCAGATCAATGTCACCATTAGAAAGTAGCTAGGAAATTGAAGGTAGGGAACAGAGGAAGATTGTGGCTGGATTACTTTTAAACGTCGACGACACCGGTGGGTCTGATGCTGATGTTCTGCTCATATTTTTGCTGGCATTATCATAATAGAGCAGTTACTGCTAAACCGCTGGTATATAGCTGAATGGGATCATCCCAGTGCAACAGCAGTTCACACTTGCCATGCCCATTGCAATCTGCAAGTTAGTAGCTGTAGCTTTCAGTTAAGAGGAATCATATTATAACCTTTTAAATGCTTGATTTAAACGGCAAACCAAGTGCTAGTTTACACAGGCATAGGATTTTGTACTTCTGATGATCTGACACGGATGCGTCAAAAAAAAAAAGATCTGACACGGACAGCTGGGATATTCAGATGTTCATCAACACAGTACGTGCACATTAGGACAAAGTATTCAGATATATGTGGCAATGGGTTTTGCATTGGATTCTCTCTCTACTTTGTAACACAGAGCAAGTGTTCTGTTTTCAGAGGTTAAATGCTACATGGACATGCTTCTCTCTAAGATAATCACAAGTTCTGATATGGCCACCTATCGCAAAGCCAATTGAGATGAACATGTCAACAGGCCAAAAAAAAAAAAGAAGAACCGGAATGAATAGGATTCCATTAATCACAAGTCTAAGGTTTGCCTTTACAAATATCTGATGATATCAGTGAGTTTAAGGATTGCACCTTAGCTGTCAGCAGAGACAACGTAATGTCGCCAATGCCTCTCTGAATCGAAGCCTGAAACGAGTGCTCTGACAGGCCCCTGGTTCTGGAGCTCTTCCAAGTTCACTCTACAAAATAATCACCTTTCTTCCCCTCAAAGAAATAATAATAATCACCTTTCTAATATCGCCCTATGAGTTTCAATCAAGAACACAACGCAGAAGTTCAGTGAGAAAAATGATGAAAAGGATGGTACGAGGTTGCATTGCCCCATCCCAGCGTGTACTCGGACTAGACGGAGCTTCAGGTCGTCTTCTTGCACGGCGGCTGCTCTTCGGTTCTTCTTGCTGAGGTCACTATTGGAAGCGGCGGCGAGGTGCAAATCTAAGCCATAATCGCAGCCGCCGGCGGCCAGGGGGGAGGGGGACAGTGCGCCGGCGAGGCGGCGACGAGACCGGCGGCGGCTCAGAGGGCGGCGCGGCCGGCTAGGTCGCAACCAGTGGTCGCGATCACGAGCCGTTCGATTAGCATTGGGCGGTTATGATAGAGGCGGAATTCATGTGGTTTCCAGATACCGTTTTGCAAGAAGACCCCTCGTATTGTTCGCTATATCAAGTACATCCTTGTTTCAAATAGAAAACAGAAAAACGAAGTACATTTCGAGTCTTGGATTGCTACCAAGGGTAGCGATTCTAGACCGTTAGATCAATGTTGAGCGGATATGATTGAGGGGGAATTGGATGTGGTGTAGGTGGGCACTTTTTTTTTGCAAAGCACTACCATTATATGGTTTGCCTTCTTTTTATACAGTTCTACTCTCTCATAGAATGAGTTGTATATTCTTTTTTAAGAAGCATGAATAGTTATATATTAGTAATTATGATAGTTTGTTTTACGGTAAATCTAGTCATCAATCTTTATGATTTTGCTGACAGTCAAAGTGTTGATTTAATTACAATTTAACATTTATATTTGTGGACAGAAGAAGTAGCTTGGAATGGTATCCCATATTGTTCACACTGGCATATACTATAATTTGTAAGTCGATAACTGTACCTTTCACCTTTTACTATTTTAGGAATAATTAGGCCTTTAAACAGTTAAGTAAACAGAAAACCCTATAGCATGTGCTACATTACACAAGCACATGATCTTTACCTCTGGTCTGAGAGACCGAGACAGATGAGATATAAAGTGATTTTTGGGAAGCATTTCAAGAAACAGTAAGTAGCTAGCTTCAAAAATTTTGGAGAAGCTAGGAAACTTAGCTTTTGACTTCTAGTTTTTATTTTATTTTATTTATTCTGTATAATCTGAATGAAAACAAATAAATCGTTTGTTTGAGGTAGCTTTTGTTACCTGAAGCACCGCAAACAGACCTTTCCACCAAAACAGATGAGATTTTGACAATCCATGACCAACATTCTAGGACGCCAATCACTTCACAGTTCACAATGGAGCAATAGTGTTTCAACACAATCAGATGTTTGAGGGGAGCTTGAGAAAAAGGAGGATACACGTTCTAGAAGTTACTACATGTTAGGGAATGAAGATGTAGAAGAGGAAGATGTTTTTGTACGATAAACTCCTGGAACTACAACTCTTGTTCCTCCACCTGAACTCCCTTGGGCCAAAAGCTTTTGGTGGGATGCCGTACCGGCCCAATCTGCAACCTTTGTGGAGTACTTAACACCATGCTTATCTCTGTTGAAAGGAATGTGATTTAAGCAATAATTATGACCTGATAAATTTCCCTCAAAAAGAAAAATATGACCTGATTGAATAAAATTCTATTCACCAGCTCAATATAGCAAGAAACTTAGCATGGTTGGTAATGGTGCAATTCGAAGAGTCTATGGTTTTTGTTATACATATGCTTACAAATTTTGTATTTGTAAACTTAATTTTGGAGTCGATTTTATTATTTTTTTAAAAAACAGTACTATTACTATATAAAAGTGATTAATGTTACTAATAAACGGCTATAAGCGAAATAATGATTCCCGGTTCATCCGAACGGAAGGTCCACAGTCCAAACGTACGACGAGCTGGGCAGAGGGAAACGCAGCTGCCGTTACCTTGTCACCCTCAGGCAGAGGGAAACGCTAGCTGGCCAGTGGCCACGCATGGCATGGGTTCATCCCGGGAGTAAGAGTAACTAGGGTCGGACCACCGGGCCCCGGGCCGGGTGGCACGCATGTAAACTCGCGATAAGATGTATATCGATCATAAGATGCAACGGCATGCATGTGACAGCGTATGCGTGCTGCGACCACGACGAATGTTCATGTGTGCCACTAGCGGATTGCTCGAATGCATCAATGCGTGTCAACTCGATCGAGCTATAGCTACATATCCGTGCTTCACGAGAGGGCGCTGAGCCCTAGTAAATGAAAGCCCGATCGATCGATCCCGCCATTACTAACCATTACAACCGGTCGTTGCTCTTACCTGCCCTGCTCTTAATAAAAGCCTTAATTGATTAACTAACTAACCCCAACGAACTTACGAACGTACGCACAAAACTGTAGCGTCCCCGTCCTGTACATGTGTGCGCGATAGATAAACAGCCGCATGCATATATATACGTCCAATATTTTCTCGTTTAGTTCTTCGGGCTAATTAAGCGCTGTACGATAACGTTCGCCTCCGTGTACATGAAAACTCGCCGCGACGCTGGGCGACGCCGACGCATGCGGGATACGACGACGACGACCCATCATAAGCTAACTGAGTACTAGTACGTGTCTCGTGACGCGGCAGCTACCGATTTCGATCGATCGCCACCGGCCAACTACCGTGCGTCGGTGCGTGCAATGCGTATACGTGCCCTGCCGACTCGCTCGCTTCGGTTCAGCCGTGGACACGCGGCCATGCGGCTATCCAACCAGATGCGCTGATGTACAAACACGTACTCCCTCCTAAAAAAAAAAAAAGTTTCCGTGCCCAATATTTAACCGTACGTCTTATTTAAAAAAATTATAAAAAATTAAAAAAACAAGTCACGCATAAAATATTAATTATGTTTTATCATGTAACAACAATAAAAACACGAATTATAAAATAAAATTATATCAGATGGACAGTCAAAGTTGGACACGGAAATTCAGGGTTTGCTTTTTTTTTTACGGAGTAAAGCGCAAGCCTACCAAATGCAAAATTTACGACATGAGAACCTGTGTTCGTTTAATTAGTTGAACAATCAAGTCATGCAAAGCAACCGAACTTAGTACATTTTTGTTGCGTGGGGACCAATGCTTTAGGGCGTAATCATCCATACTCACGAAGGAAATCGTTCTGGACAACGACACGTCTCTAAAACATAACTTTTAACTTCTTGTTTCTATAAAAATATTTATTGAAAAGTGATATATATATATATATATATATATATATATATGCTTTTATAAAAATATCTTTTAAGATAAATCTATTCATATAACTTTTACATATATTTTCAAACTCAACAACTTAAAAGTTATTTATGATTTATATTTTTAAGATTTGAATTAAATATTGTCCTAAACGATTTTCTTCGTGAGTACGGAGATACTGCTAACCTAAACAACCGAGCGAATCATCTTTGACTAATCATCGCCACCAGATAATGGCAAACCTTGAATCTTTAGATTTTGGGAGTTTTTGACCGTGAGAACACCTGAGCCCGGCCGCTCGGACCAGCGATCTGATCTATACAATGGTTGTTAATAGTGGGTTTTTTAGCGTTGTTAATTATAAATACTTGTTGATATGGAGGAAAGAGAAAAAGGAGAGACAAAACATCGTTGTTATGCATGACAACAGCTTAACAACGACTCTTAGTCACTATAATATAGAAATATGGTTGCATGAGGATATAAATATAAAAAGAATATTAATAAAAGAAATATTTTTTGAGTTAATGATTAGAGCCTTTATCGTCTCAACTATTATAAAAACATGGTCTCTAAAATCTTGTATTATTTAAGAGACCATACCCGTCTCTACCATTGAACATGCCCTAATCTACCCCAACATCCCAACTTTGACCGGGCCTCGATGCTACGGCACGTGGGCCCACCCACTGACAAGTGGGCCCCACCATGACGTTATCTCCTTCACCACTCCCCCTCGCGATGCGACACGTCGAGCCCGACACGTCTCCTCTATCCGAGCAACGACGCCGCCGACTTTTCCAGACTTACCGCCTATTCTAATCCCCCACACCTCCCACCTCTCGCCCACTGACGGCCGGGCCCACACGGGCGGTGGGCCCACGTGTAAGAAAAAATCGCGTGAAGGTCACGGGGGGCCCGGTGTTTTTACCGCCCAGCGTTTCGAAAGCGAAAGGGACAAAATTGGGAAAAAAAAAGAAAGAAAGAAAGAAAGAGGAGAAAATTTCACGCCGCGGCTCACACGCATTCCTCTTCTTCCCTCCTCTTCTCTCCCCGCCTCCTCGCGGTGTCTGCCTCTCTCTCTCGCGCGCGCAGCCTACCGCCACAAGCAAAGTCCAGGAGGGCTCGGGCACGGAAGCTTCTGGAAGCTTCCGCGTTGGCGTGAGGAAGGAGGCGGAGGGGAGGGGAGGGGGACTGACCTACTCCCTCACCGCGGTCGTTCCAAGTCCCGCGCCGCCGGGGATTCCCATCCCCTCTCGCGGCGCGCCGCTTCGACGGGAGGTAGGGAGGGTAGGAGCAAGAGCAACAGAGTGATGTCGAGTTCGGGTGGCTTGCGGTTGTTATCGGTCTCATCCGGTTTTGCGGTTGCAGGCATCGTCGTATCGCATCGATCTGGTTTGGGGGGTTTTGGGAGTCTGAAGTGGTGGGTTTGAGATGGAGGACTTGCTGGACACGGAGATCGGGAAGCATGACTACGACTGGTAATTGACTGGTTTCTCCTTACTTATTTGGTTTTCTGAATTTTGCGTCGATTTCATGTTTGCTGCAATTGGTGAACCCGTTGTGCTAAGTTGGGTAAGCCGTTTCTCTAATTTGGAGTAGCTGGTGGCAATGCCGCGTTTGAAATTTATTTTGGGGGCGTTTTATTGGTTAAACTTGGACGACGTTATACTTATCGTGCTTGTGGTTAGGTGAATGAATGGTGCTTGTTTATCCGAGGAATCAGTGGTGTCATCCCAGGGAAATCATGATTTGGTGTATTTAGGTTGAGTTCTGCTGACTGCGATTGTTTCCGGTTTTAAGATTGGCCATGTACGGATGCTACTTGGTTTAGTTAGGGAATTAGTTTCGTTGACAGCAAAGACAAGTAGGTGACTGTATTGTTTGGTCTGTGGGCTCCTTCCTAGCTTGAAGAGCAAAGCGTTGGATCTCAAGTAATGTCTTCTCTATATTGGAAAGGGAAAAAAATTCGGCAGGCAAATAGCATTGCTAACTTTAGGATGTTTTATACTGGCTCGTATTATAGGATAATTTCAATAGTTCAAATGAATTCTATAACTCTTTTGTGAAATTTCTGAAACTGAATTACACCAGCACCCAGCCACCCACTGGGAATTACAATGACCAGACATTTTAATTGCAAGTTTAGTTGAAATAACTACTGCTACACTTTAGTTGACTTTCATCACATTCCACTATTGTGGTGATAAGGCCGATTTGGATGTCACGTCTATGGGCTTGCCACAAAACGGGAGTGCTTCGTGTCACCAAAGGATATGCCTTTCCATTATTTATGTGTCATCTGTTCTATGACCAAGTTATCTAATTTTTATTGGTCTGATCTTCTATGACTTGCATAACATTGGAATATTTCTTCAGGCTTCTGACTCCCCCAGGATCACCTCATGCTCCTATACTGGAGGTTGTGGAGAAAGCTCCATCCTCAGATGTCCCTAAACGCATTACTACTAGATCATCCTCAACCACTAGAGCATCAAGGGTTGGTGCTATTTTCTTCAAATTTTTTTTACATGCAAGTGTTTCGAGATTCTTTTTATTCAAGCAGTCAGGATATTTGTTCCAAGAGCATAGTAGATGTTTTTTTCCTTGTATTGTATTCAATGCCTCATTGGCATTTGAATTCAGCCATCCGGGTCGGTTTTCTTGCATAAGAGGATAATGAAGTAATATAACTCTGAACTGGAAAGTGGAAATGATTTTTGATGTTTGAAAACCCTACCATGCATTGCCCACCAAAATAAACTAGTTGAAAGAAAATTATGTTCGCCAGAGTGATTTTCCAAATTTTAGAATGCACCTAGTCACATTATAATTGCAATAACTGTTTCAGTGCACATCGCCTGCATTGGTAGGTTGTTAGGTGCTGCAACTAGCGCTAAGAACAATACTTGTTTGAATTCTGTTTAGGCAACAATAGTAGAAAGGCATGGTAATCCTTTAACTTGCCTTTTTATTGACAACTGAATGCCAATCTTACGTTTCATGCAAAAGGAGTTATAAGAAAAAGGCTTGATGAACCAGGTGATCTGTCAATACCATCATAGGATGTTGAAAACAGATAGTCACCAATGCTACCGTGATTTGCTGTATTATTGGGTTGTAATCATGTAAATTTGGAGTATTTCACGTTATTACATGTTTGCTCATATTCATATAGTGCAAAGTGTACAATCTGCAGTAGTCAGTAATACATTTTCGTCTACAATGAATTGTAATTTGTTTTTGGGAAGCAATCAAGTTCCATCTAGTTAGCAATATAATATTGTAATAATATTGCACCACTTATCATATAACCATTGATACATGCTTTAGCTGTATGACCTGTTTCTTCAAATCTACTATTTGCTCAGCCAGGCATGTGTTGATGCTCATAATTAACAGAAATGTGCTGCATGTTTATTGCAGCTTTCCATTCCTGAAACAGAGAATGGGCATTCCACAGTACCAACTAGGCCAGCACGGAGTAACTCTGTCTCTCGCCCTTCAATCCAATCTACTCTTATTTCCAGCAACAACAGGTCATCAGTTGTCAATGCAAGCATTTCCTCTGTCTGTTCGCCACCTACAACTCCAAGCAAGAGGACTAGCACTCTTTCTTCATCAAAGCCATCAGTTCCAGCTTCACGTCAAGTACCAACACGGCCCTCTACTCCAACTAAAACCCGTCCATGTACTCCAGTGAAACCTCGGCCATCTACTCCAGTCAAACCTCGGCCATCTACTCCAAATAAAACTCGGCCTTCTACTCCAGTCAAAACTAGATCTTCTGTACCCAACACTATGTCCACCTCAACTATTGCCAAAACAACATCTGCACAAAACTCGAGACCATCAACTCCAACCTCTCGGCCTCGTATCATGTCCAATTCATCTTCAAGTACAAGTTCTGCAGCAAGTCGTCCTAGTTCATCCTCTGGAAGAACTAGTACAATTAGTCGCACCTCCTCTTCCACAAGTACAGTTCCTTCAGTCAGCCGCTCTAGCTCTCGTTCATCTACACCTACGCGTCAGCCTATCACACGTTCATCAGCCCCACTGGCTGGCCACTCACCTTCTGTTGGGAGGATATTTGGCAGCAATAACATAACATCCATCGGGCGGCCTGTAACCAGTAATGGTCGAAGTTCAGCACCTTCTTCTGCACCATCATCTCGTCCAAGTTCCCCAAATTCACGTGCACGAGCTCCAGTCAGGCCGTTAGATATTCCTGATTTTCCAAGTGAAACTCCACCAAACCTAAGGACTAAGCTACCACAACGACCACTATCTGCTGGTAGAGCACGCCCAGGAGTGGGTTTGGGACCCAAGTCAGCCCCAAATGCTGAACAAGTTCGCTCAGCTCCTGTAAAAAAGATGACTGTGCCTGCTATTACGCGAAGTAAATTTCCTGATGCACCATCTAGGGTATCTTCTCTTACAAATGGACACCAAAGCAGACAGTCCGAGGGGTCTGCTGTGGAAGGCCAACATACTAAACCATTACGGTCTATCACGGGCACAGATAATGGCTTTGGTAGGACAATATCAAGGAAGTCACTTGACATGGCAATCAAGCATATGGTATGTTACATTCCTCATTTTACGTGACAGTAAACATGACCTGCTTACTTTTATTTGATGTATTTTAGTTACTGTAACATCTCCAGAAGAAACTGAACAGTTCTTGTCTATAAATAGGACATTCGACAAAACCTGGGTGGTATTCGTGGTGCATCTCTATTCCCGCCTAGCATTCGCTCTGCCGGTGCGAAGGTCCGGTCAGCTCGAATGTCTGATCCCGCTCATCTCAGTTTAAATGGCGATTGTCATTTTACTGACAATGGCAGCATCAATGGACACTTCTCTGGAGATTCGAACGGAACTCTTTCAAACAACGGTGGCAGCTCAACTGGTTCTCCAGACAGGGAAAGCATTGGAACTAAGGAGACACTGAGTGAACTAGATCTGTATACCACTGCACGGTATGAGGCATTGTTGTTGAGGGAGGACATAACGAACACGAACTGGTTGCACAACGTTGATGACAAATCTGACCAGAGCCCAGTGTTTGATCACCGGTTTGAGCCGCTCCCAGAGCCATTTGGTCCACTATGATGGTTATTAGCTGTAAAATCTCGTTCCTCGTTATGTTTACAATTAGTAGTTGCAAGTTGTATGCGGTTATATCTTTCTGTGTGGTTGTCCATTTCCCCCATCTTTTCATGAATCTTCTGAAAGATAAGATTGTGGGGTTTATGTTTTGAAGTAGTACTCCATAAATACCTGGAGATTCGATTTTGAGTTATCGCTGTACTGAAATCCAAGTGTCAGAGCACGATATAGTTTCTCTTTTTATCCCTCTACGGTTATTGTGAGGATTACCATACGCGATTTTCAAACATCTTGACTGGGCTGTACCATGTTCTTCTTTTATTTGAGGAATACAGTATGTGTTTCACTTGGATGCTTACTGGTTACTGCCCTCTTTGAAGCAACTGTATATGTGATTTATCTAATGCAAATGTTTTGCTTGGGATCCAGTCAGGTCAACTAGTGGTCCTCTGCAGGAGCATATGAGGGTCTGTACTCTGAGGCAGCTGGTGGACCCTATGAGAAACTCTACTGGTCGCTGTAAAATTAGTAACTGCAAATTGTGCTTTTCTAATCTGTATGTGTGTACAATATCTTTCGAGTTAGAACAGTTCCCAAAATCTGGAATTCTTTTTGTTTGCTCGAGGAATAGTTTACTAGGGTAGGGGCTTCTTCTCATTGGAGTTTACTTCTGTCCTAAACCAATAGCCTCTTGCTAAAAGCTTTGGGTATTCACCTGATTAAGCTATGATTTGTTTGTTTTTTCCTCATATAGATTTCAGGTTTCAGGTAGGAGTATGCGTTAGTTGGCGAATTGATTCGTTTTGCCATTTTTGGAGAGACATAGCGGCAAAGTTAGATAAACACGTAAATTTCATGTCGTTGTCAGCAGAAGGTAGGCCAACGATGTCAGTTTTTCTTCTAATCTGAGAAAATGATTTCTGTTGGCACCTGCTAGAGTCAAAAGGTCGAAGTTACCGTGAACAGTAAAATGACATTTTTGTCCGCAGTACATGATTTGAGCCCGTGCTAAATTACATCGTCGACTGTAACCATTGGCACTTAATTTAGGAATGTCTATAATCTTCTTATTATGTTGAGGTTCTCGAGAAGGCCTGCCGATAAATAGACATACAGGATGATTACCTTTTAGAGAAGGTAAAAGGCAGAACTCCCTTTTTTTTTTTTGGTTAGATCGAAGTTTGCAAGTTGCAACTGATCATATATTAGAGTGTAGAATAGCCTACATAGGCAAGATGATAGAAAAAGTAGATTATTTGATATAATCTGTAGGCTAGCTCTAACCACCAATCTACGGACCACGGGGTGCAAACTTTGCCATGTCCTTTTATGTCATAGCATAGCCTTTCCATCGTCTGATTACACGTCTCAAGATGCCATGTTCATTTTTCATTTTATAGAAATTTTAAAAGGAAGGATATATTGAATCATTTGCTTAAAAGGTTTTCTTAGAAATTTAAAATTTCTATGTTTTCTCTACAATTCAAAGCGGCCTTACATTTTTAGCAACTGCACTGGTTTTATACTTATATTGTCACCTCCTCGTCATTTCCATCTTGTTACAATTTACCGCTGCCTAATTTCCGTATGTACCCCTGTCAGTAAGACGGGTAGCTGCACCAATAAACACTGTCTTGCGTTGCTCTCACGAGTTCACCAACCATCAGAGTTCCAACGTACTACTAGTACTATCCACAAGACAAGTGATGGTAAATCACTTGATTTGTTGAAGTAGGCTTCTAGGATTCCCAGCAATAACTGTGCTCAAGATGAAAAGGGGGAAGAAATCAAAGAATGCGCCAATTGGTACGCTGTTCTCTGGCTAGACGGTCAATACGGTAGCAGGTGACAAATTGACAATATGGCATGGAACCCAGCTGGTTCACACGAGAACCTCAGCAAGACTGTCAGTGAAAAAAAAATCACTGCGGTTGATACACAAACCACCCGAAAAGGATGAACACCTGTAAGTGGCCGGCAGAACCAACGACAACTGAGTTCAGATGATAAAAGACTATTTCCGAATCTCAGCAACATTTCATAAGGATTTTCGAAAATTGACAATAAATATCAGTATTAGCTAGGCTACTAGTGGATTGAGATCCTCTATAGTGAACTGCATCGTGCCTTCATCACTGACATGTGAACCTGATAATCTTTGGGTTGAGCAAAGGATTCTGATCTGCTACTAGCTAAGCCTGAGTGGTTGCCCGACCAACTCGGGCGCAGGCTCTGCCGCTTTGTCTAGGTGTGTTTAGTTCTTGAAAAAAAGCCGGAAGTTTGAAGAAAGTTAGGAGTTTGAAAACAAAATTAAAAATTTATGTGTGTAGGAAAGTTTTTGATGTGATATGATATGATGGAAAGTTGGAAATATGGGGAAAACTAAGCACGGCCCTAGTGGATGCGTTTTATTCTGCCGTGCTCAAATGGCTGAAATTAAGCTCACTCGGTAGGAGCTCAGCTACAGATCCAAAAGGCGGTAGGAGCAAACGAGCAATGCGTGTGTCGTTGTGTTGCATTGATCAAACGCGATTTGTGCAACAGGAATGACGTACCAGTGTACAGTGGCTTGAATTGTCCGACGGTACAAAAATGTACAATATGTACTGGCCGGCATATGTAATGCAGACCGGAGGCCAGTACAATGGCTGATTAGATTTTTTTTTAGATAATGGAATATAAAAAAAAAGCCATTGCTCAATTACTGCTGATGTTTCAATTATTGCGGCTGATAAACCATTGCTGAAGTGTTCATGAACGGTGAGCTAGCCAAGAATCAGAAGTTGATTCCGCCACTCTCCAAGCATGTGCCAGTGCGTTAGAACGGGTCACAAATACTATGGGCATGTTCAGAATGTAGCTAAAATAAGCCTTACCAAATTTTGATAATACCAAAATTTTTGGCAGGATTTCTTATGTATTTAATAAATTTGGCAACAAACTAAACGTAGATATTTTTTGGCATCTAATCTAAAAAATGGTATGGTTAAAAATGATATCAAAGTGAACAGGTCCTATATTACCTTTAATAATGTTAAGAAACGATAGGCAAATAAATGATAAAAAACAATAAATCAATAACAGAAGACAAGATTTTACGTGGAAAACCCTCCCACAACAGGAGAGAAAAAACCACGTGCGCTAGCCAGCAAAATATCTTCACTGTATCAGGGTGAGATTACAACGCTGAACGGCGACTTACAAGAGGTCTATATGAAGGTGAAACCTTAAAAGGATAACGATCTGTACCGCGGAGGCTCCGCTCCCACACCCCCGGGTGTCCCCAGGTGCATAACGTTATTTGGTTAACCCAATGGGCCAGCTTCAGCCTCCGCTTCGCTTCGGTCCAAGTCTACGGCAACGACGGGCCTCCGTTTCGCTCCAACAGAAGCTGGCCTTTATTATATGCAAATGAATTTGGATCACAACTCAACACAATAATAGATATAATACCCCGTAGATATTAGATCTAGTATTTAGATATCATGCTGATGTTACCATGGGTACATATGATGTTAGACATGGCATCCCGTAAGTATTGGATCTAATAACTAGAGGCCTATTTGGAATGGCTCTAACTCTAGTTTCATCTTTCCTGTAGCGAAGCCTAGTAAAAGAGTTCCAACACCACCTAAAATAGAAGCGGAACTGGGTGAAGCTCACAAAATAAACTAGAGAGATGTGGCTGGGTTTAGGCTACTCCACAACTCCACTCCAGACCCAACTCACCATTAGTTAGCAATCACACTTAGATCTTAATACAGTTCACGGAGGGAGCAAGTCGTATGCACTGCGTTTTCGTTTTCAGTTAGCGTTCGAGGGACTAATATCACGTAATGCTTGGTCAACGATGTTCGTACCATACACCACTTCACCGGCAAGTGGGACCCATATGTATCTGAGTCAATGCCCTGCAGGGCACCACCACCAGCCAGGCAGGGGCAGCAGCGGCTGATCTCGTCGTCGTCGTCGACGTCGACGTCGGTCGGTCACTCTCAGCCTCCTCACCTCAGGGGCAGATCCGTCAACCCTCCACAAATCCCGAGAAACGGACACCCCTACTTCCTTAAAAAAAAAGACAAACCCTAAATTTTTTGTGTTCAACGTTCGACCGTCCGCCTTATTTAAAAAAATTATGAAAAAAATTAAAAAGACAAATAAAACATAAAGTATTAGTTATGTTTTATCATCTAACAATAATAAAAATACTAATTATAAAAAAGATTATATAAGACGGATAGTGAAATGTTGCATACGGAAACTCAGGATTTGTTTTTTTTTTGTTTTTTTTTTGGAGGGAGTACACCACACTCCTCTTAAATACACCCACAAGTTCGCCCACAGTGAAGCGCCCACCTACACACTCTCTCTCCTCGCGTCCACGGCTTCCGCGCCCCGACACCCCGCACGGCGACGCCAGCTCAGTCGCCCGCGCCGCAGTGCTGGGATCACCAGTCGCCAGGCCAGCGCGAGGTTGTACGCGGCAGGACGACGAGGCGGCCCGGCGCGCTCTCCCCGCGCCGCCGCCGGGGTCGCGGGGGACGAAATGCCGGCGTGTTCGGAAGCAGATCGGTGACCTGACCTCCCCCGCGCGGCGGGATTTCGGCGGCCGGAAGGCTGGATCTTTGATTCTTGAGGCGAATGGTGGTGGAGGGGAGGAGGAGGGGGGGTTACCGGATTTCTTCTGCCTGGCGAAAGGTTGGGGACTCGACTCTCTGTCTCTCCGTTTTTTTTTTTTTTTTTGGTTTTCTCTCTCCACCATTGCGTTCTTGTATGCAAATGGGGTTGGAATTTGGGGGCGAGATTGGAACCTGATTACCTGGGTTTGATCTGGCACCCTGATTTAGGACCCAGAATTGAAGGAGATGGTCGTAGATTTGTGCAATGTAGTATGTGCCGCGCTCGTTCGTAGACAGTGAGTGTCTCGTCAGTTTCTCCTCAATTTTCTTGTTCGAAATAAAGGGGAAAAAAGCGTTTCTAAAAAAAAAAATTTCCCCCCTTTTAATGTCCGAGGAGTTGGGTGGTCGGAGTTAATTAATGGCATCAGAATTAAATTAAAGGACTACCTTGGTGTGCCTGGTACTAAGTGCTCTCTACAGCGGCTAATTTATTACAATTAACACCCCTTTTCTAGATGTGTTAATAGTTTATTTTTTTTGTTCAGTAAAAATGTCTACTTTTGCAGCACTAAATGTTTTTCTCCTGAATTTTGGGACTTGGGGTGGCATCTCCACCTAGTTCACAGTCAGTCCATTGTACTGCGCGGTATGAATTGGTGTACTGCTGCTATACTAGTGTAGGCCGTGCCATGAGCAGGGTAAGCTCATGAAACCCATGAATATCCCCGCGCCCACCTCGCCCCCCCCAAAAGTCCAAAGGCATCGTCTTTCTTTCCTTTCCTTCTCTTCCCTGGTGGTGGTTGTCTCGCATTGTGCATCGCAGCTTTTGCTTTTGTGCCATGGCCTTAACCATCATCAGTATCTGCGCTGCTGGTGAGCATATTTGGTTTCTTTTCGAAGGCAGCCGCATGAGGGGTGCAGAACTGCAGATGTAATGTTAGGTGAGATATCTATCTATGATGCGGTGCCATGCGCTGGAGCATTTAAGGAGATCGCCCGGCTGCAAGGGAATCTTGCCATCTCCCGTTGGCAGTTCTTGTTGAAACAGTTTCTTGGAGTTGTCTGACAACTGTTTTTCTTTATGATGGTTTGTCAGTCCTAAGTGTAAGTGCGGTGCTTAGGGCACAGTGGCAAAGGGTAGTAGAAGTTCTTGTTAAGATAATTGGGTGTGTGCTTTTATTAAAACAGGGGAGAGGAGTGGTGATAGCTGCCTTGTGATGTGATTTGGGTGGTTGCTTTTGTCATATGCAGATGATCCCAACTGCCCCGTTTAGAAAATAAACTAAAGCAGATTAGCCTGATGGTGAGTCCTACGGCTTTGACTAGAGGAAGAGAACATGAGCCACGTGTATTTTATTTGGGACGGGAGATTACCATGTAGCAGTTGAGAAATGTGATGTGCCCTGCATAGAGTTGACTCACTCTGTGAGCATTTCTCCTTTTTTTTTTCTTTTATCCTGAGAAAGAGGTTGCATCAGCATCAAGTGTTGATCATGGGAATTATTAGCGGTTATTCTGAGGTGATGGCTAGCTACAAACTAGAGAGCTGTTAAACTCTGTTCTGAAACTCTAAAGCAATTCTTGTAGTATTGTACAAATCCACGTTGTTTATTGGACCTAATACTGCTGGTATTTAGCCATTTGTGTAATTTGATGTGTCAAACCCCTGTCAGGTCATATCAGTTATACTTGTATATATTATAAATATTTGCTGTGGTTAGCTGGCCTAGGAATTTGTCCTTGAAATTATCTAAGACAATCCCAATATGAAAAGTATCAACACGGAAACACTACTTCTAGATGTTAATAGTAGCAAGCATCTTGTTCATTCAACTCTAGTAGTGTTAGATTATTTTCTGTGCAAAACAGTCGCTCCTCATCTTCAAGATTTTAGCATATTTATTTTTTAAATTTGGCAATTGGTGCTGAAAGTATATCTAAGGGCAGAGTTTATGCTTCATGTTTCCTAACCTTTTATTCCTTCTTTCTACTTGCACTTTACTATATTCTTGCTGTTACGCACCACATTGATTTACTTTCTTTTTCTTTTTCTCATGCTAGAGGAGTGAAGAGCTGATGGGAAAGATTGGTTTCTAGTGTTGGACCAGTTTGTTTCCAACAAGCATCAACCATGCAAGATCATATACTTACAGCTTTTCTGGTTGTTTCTCTCCTCTTTGCATGCATTCCTCCTGCCAAGAGTGCTGATCTGAACTCCGACAAGCAGGCTCTTCTTGCATTTGCTGCCTCACTGCCACATGGCAGGAAGCTCAACTGGAGCTCTGCAGCCCCAGTCTGCACTTCATGGGTTGGGGTGACTTGCACACCAGACAATAGCCGCGTGCAAACACTACGCCTACCAGCAGTAGGGCTCTTTGGCCCGCTACCCTCAGACACGCTTGGCAAGCTTGATGCCCTGGAGGTATTGAGCCTTAGGTCCAATCGCATCACTGTTGATCTCCCTCCTGAAGTAGGATCCATTCCTTCTCTCCATTCCCTATATCTTCAGCATAATAACCTATCCGGGATCATACCGACTTCCCTTACTTCCACTTTAACATTTCTAGATCTGTCATACAACACTTTTGATGGAGAAATCCCATTGAGAGTGCAAAATCTCACTCAACTTACTGCATTGCTTCTCCAGAATAACTCTCTTTCTGGACCCATCCCTGACCTCCAACTCCCAAAATTGAGGCATTTGAATTTGAGCAACAATAACCTCAGTGGGCCAATACCACCTTCCTTGCAAAGATTCCCAGCCAATTCCTTCTTGGGGAATGCTTTTCTATGTGGGTTTCCTTTACAACCTTGCCCTGGGACTGCACCTTCACCTTCTCCTTCTCCAACATCACCATCACCCGGCAAGGCCAAGAAGGGCTTCTGGAAAAGGATCAGAACTGGTGTTATAATTGCACTTGCTGCCGCAGGAGGGGTATTGTTGCTAATCTTGATTGTTTTACTCTTGATATGTATTTTCAAGAGAAAGAAAAGCACAGAACCTACTACAGCTTCTTCGTCAAAAGGAAAAACTGTTGCTGGTGGAAGGGGAGAAAATCCTAAGGAGGAGTACAGCAGTGGTGTTCAGGAAGCTGAGAGGAATAAATTGGTTTTCTTTGAGGGCTGTTCATATAATTTTGACCTAGAGGATTTGCTGAGAGCTTCAGCTGAAGTCCTTGGAAAAGGGAGTTACGGAACTACTTATAAAGCTGTTCTTGAGGATGGCACCACAGTTGTGGTCAAGAGATTGAAGGAGGTGGTCGTGGGGAAGAAGGATTTTGAACAGCAGATGGAGATAGTTGGCAGGGTTGGCCAGCACCAGAATGTTGTCCCATTGCGTGCCTACTATTACTCCAAGGATGAGAAGCTACTGGTGTATGACTATATCCCATCTGGTAGCCTTGCTGTTGTTTTGCATGGTATGCATTTTTCCTCTTTTACATTTGAACTATTTACCTATCTATTTCTGAAATCTGAACATTTAGACTATGGAGGGCTCCTGCTTTTATTCTTAGATGATGTATAACATTCTTGTAAAATCATGCCATTTAGAAGGAACCAAGGAAACCTGTTTCTCCTCCGGGTTATTCTCTCATTTTTCCATTCATAAGTCGTAACCATAGGTTTGGAAATACATCCATCAATAGTACTCACTGTAAGCAGTGAATTTAGACTTAAACAGTCCGCTTTGATCCATGCTAGCTTTTGCATAAGCATAAGCCAAACCGCTGAAGTGAAATGACATGGTTGATGATAAATACTTGTAGGGAATAAAGCTACTGGAAAAGCTCCATTGGATTGGGAGACGAGGGTAAAGATATCTCTTGGTGTGGCTCGTGGAATTGCTCATCTTCATGCTGAGGGAGGCGGGAAGTTCATCCATGGCAACCTCAAGTCATCAAACATCCTTCTGTCACAGAACCTCGACGGCTGTGTCTCTGAGTTTGGGCTGGCACAGCTTATGACCATTCCACCAGCTCCAGCACGCCTTGTCGGATATCGTGCACCAGAAGTCCTCGAGACTAAAAAGCCAACCCAGAAGTCTGATGTCTACAGCTTCGGTGTGTTGGTCCTCGAAATGCTGACAGGAAAAGCGCCTCTGAGATCTCCTGGACGAGAGGACTCCATTGAGCACTTGCCAAGGTGGGTGCAGTCTGTGGTCCGGGAAGAATGGACCGCGGAGGTTTTTGACGTCGACTTGTTAAGGCATCCCAACATTGAGGATGAGATGGTTCAGATGCTCCAGGTTGCAATGGCATGTGTTGCCGCCCCCCCTGATCAACGGCCAAAAATGGACGAGGTGATCAGGAGGATCGTTGAGATCCGGAATTCCTACTCCGGGTCAAGAACACCACCGGAGGAGAAGCAGAAGGATGAATCTGCAGCGCCATGAGCGCCATTGTTTAGCAAAGGTAGCTGCTAGCTAGGCTGCATAGTTACTGGCTTATAGAGAGCTTCAGCAAAGTTGATAGCCGCTTGCTTTAGTGAGGTTTTTCTGCTGATTTCTGATCTTCTTTAGATAATTTTTTTTGGGATTTAATTCTCACAGTAGTGATCTGTTGGTCATTACCATTGTTCCATTCCAGTTAAATCAGTAGCTCTTCTGATTTTTCATAGGGTGATGTTCAGTGTTCTGTAATTTGACATGCCTTTTTTTCCAGTGTGATTAATGAATTGAGTTTTCCTTGCGATTTCGGCTTTGTCAGAAATTGGACCAATTGGACCTGTGTATATTCAGGCTATCTAGTACATGTATTATCTTGCAAAGCATCTCCGCTGTTCATATTCCTTAACCTGGTACTTTTCAAAGTTCAAACACCATAAAACATCCCAACTTGTAAAACATTACAAGTTGGTGAAATCCACAGCTGGTGTAATCTCTGGTTTTTTAGTAAAAGATTTTACGCGCCCAATGCATGTAAATTCCAGAACAAAAAACAAATCTCTTCTGGAGCATGTTTTGTAATTTCAATATGTTAGAATGCTGTTTTTATATCTGTTTAGAAGGATAACGACCTGGCATTACTTTTCAGTTCCAGTTCCATTTTCGATGTCAATAGCATGACAACATTGTTCTGAAGGCAATTAAGAAAATATTCAACAGAATCAAAACAGATATATATATATATATATATATATATATATATATATGAGCAAAGGTAATATCTACAGGACTTGATCACAGGTATCGGCAAATTGTTTTTTAGCAACAGGCACCTCTAGGCGTATCCTCCTGTAGCTCGCATTGGTCAAGCATTCGCCTGTTTCCTTGCAGTTTCTACGAAGATTTCCACTGGAACTCAATCTGAATCTGGCCACGCTTTGAGTTGATGAGATCGTACATTTCAATGATCCGTTTGTTGATGATCACATCTGCGAGGCTAATATCAATGTGGCCTAAACTTTCCTGATAAAAAGAAACGCATCAGTGTAATACATTTGCAGTAGTCTTCAATTTATTTGGCAGAATTCAAGCAAGTAAATCTTGACAATTACAGTAATGTTTCCAACCATATGGATACACTCATTGAAGTAGATAATCCACAAGAAGACAACGCAGCAACATATTTCGAGTAGAGACAATGCTAGTTCAGCTACGAGAATACTTCCTCCGTTCCAAAATAAATCAACTCGTAGAGTTTGAAATTTGTCCTAAAATAAACCAACTTCTAACTTCTTACCTACCACCAATCTGCAAATCGAGAAATTTTATTACTTCAATACCCCTCACCTACCTATCAATCAATATAACTTTTACATTAATTAAAGGTATTATGATCTTTTATTTCTTTCCAACATAGTTTCTTGGGATGCTAGGGTTTGGTTTTTTTTGATAGAGGGAGTACTAGATTATCGTAGGCGTGTTCCCTAAGCTCTTATAGGTGCGATTTTTGGAAGAACTTTCTATATAGATATTTCTTAAAATGCTTTTCTAAATCCATTTTTTAACTTTTAAATAATTATTTCGGTAGTTACTGCCACTAAATAATTGTTATAATCTATCATCTAAAATGAATGGGGCCTAACTGGCAGAATTTCATGAACAAAACTATACCTTATTGCGTATCAACGCTTTTTTGGTACCTAGGACTTCAACATGTAGCTTATCATTTGCAGGGGTTTCCTCACACTCAAACTCAAATTCTTCCTTCCATCGTGGATTCCTGTTCTCTTTGACCACCTACAAAGAGAGGAAGAATTTTGTGGGTTTTTATTTTTTTTGTGGGGCATGGGATAATATCATAGTCCAGTGGTGATATTGTACTGAAGTGCATAATATTTTAAAGATTAATACCTTTGTTTTCTTCTCTACTCCTTTGAAAGTTAGTTTTACATATGGATTCGTGTTACATTTTCCTTCAAGTTCTTTAGCTTCATGAACAACAACATAAAGCAGCCCTCCAGGATCTTCTTTCTGTATATTGCCTTCCTTGAAAGGCTTATATGTCAGCTCCAGAGTAATTTCACCAGCAGACTTCTCATTCTGTATACCATTCGGTTCCATGGTCTTAATCAAGTTATCAGTTATAACTTCAGTCCCTGGGGTAAGTTTTTTCAGCGAAATCTTGCACATGCCCAATTTTTCATCCTTTCCAAACTGGCCATATAAAAAGGAAATAAATCTGCAGTATTTAGTAACATGGAACAAGAGAAGAATAACACAGGAAATGCTAAGTATTCCATGCCTGTTCCCAGTCGAAGACATTAATATCCAGTTCCTGAGTTTCAGGGTCTCTGATGACAAACTTGAACTCTTGATTCCACTCTGGATTAAGGTTACTGTGCTTCACTGCTGTTTTCTTGGATGGAAGCTTGCTACCTGACATCTTGAGCTTCACATACGGATCTCGTTTACCCAACGGACCCTTCTCTCGAAGATTTTGAGCTCTTAAAACTTTCACTAATAGAATACCAACAGGCTTTTTAGAAGCCCTGCGAATATATGGAGATAAATCAGTAACAGTTATTTCAAGAAAACAGTCAGTGATAAAGACTTTACTTTGAGGGATCCATTATAGGCACTTCAAGGGTCTTTGGCCATAAAAACATGCTAGCAACTTGATCCATGATGGTCTCCTGCAAAAGCCAAAAAAAAAAGTGGTCACAACCTTTAGTATTTTTACTGAATTGGTTCACTGGTCCAACCAGCGGGAATGTTTAGCAAGTTTAATGAAAATTTCAGTGCTATTACCATATTTTCACACAAAAAGTTTCAAATCAATAGTGAGGAATACCTGAACAAATTTGTAAAGAACAGGAATAGCCATTACATCTGCTCCAAGAAGTTTTAGGCCAAAGTCAACATGTGGCTGCAACACCAACATAACTAATGAAAAGGAGTGAGATCAGCAGACGCTGATAATAGAAAAAAACAAGTAATATGTTGCCAAACCTTCTCCATGAGAGAAACAAGGATATTTGCAAAGCAAGGAAATGAAGACACCAAAGGCTTTAGAGTAATACGAGGCAAAACAAAGACTTGCATATCCACAACCTGAAAAATCTCGTAAGAAAAATGAAGGTTTCACTTGGCTGAAATCTGTACTTTTTAAGCACATGACCGGAAAAATTCAAGACCTGGATAGTTGCTTTCAACCCGTAAGCCTTTACAACAACAGTGGTATTGGGATTTCCTGCCCATTTAAGAGAGGGTTCCATAACCAACTCCTGCTCATTTGTAACTTGGACTTTCACTCCTGGGGTACAAACCATGAACTGTTTTACCTTTTTTTTTTGGCAACATCTTGTAAAACAACTAGAATCGCATATGATCAATTTACAGTAACGTCAGGGTATGAGACAACTAATAGGCCATAGTTAGCTACATATGTGTATGGTGATATATACCGCTAATGAATTATACTCCCTCCGTTTCGGGTTATAAGACGTTTTGACTTTGGTTAAAGTCAAACTACTCTTAGTTTGACTAACTCTGTAGGAAAAAATAGTAATATTTACAACACCAGCATAGATTCATTAAATCTATAATTGAATAAATTTTCATAATATATTTGTCTTGGGTTAAAAATATTACTACTTTTTCTACAAAATTAATCAAACTTAGAGTAGTTTGAGTTAAATCAAAACGTCTTATAATCTGAAACGGAGGGAGTACTAGTTATTCATAAACAATAACAAGAGGTACAACCCTATCACTAGTGAATATGTCCAATTGCTAAACATAATGCATAGCAAATTAGCCAGAAACCAAGTAGTAGCAATATCTTAATAATACTAGCAAATTGCCCATACGTTACAACGGAATTTTAATTAAAGAAAATTATCATTAACCCATCATTATCGTCTCTTAAATTATCGTACATATTTGTTACTGACATGTGGACCATTTGATCCCATTATGTTCTTTTTTTTTCATTCTCACAAGAAGCAGAAAGTTGTTGGGAGTAATTGACATGTGGGCCTTTATCCTCTCCTTTTTTCTCTTAAAAAAATTGGGGAGTTGGTGGTGGGGTGATGACAGAACCACCACCACCACTTTATAAAGGAGCTGTTCAGATTGATGCCATTTTCAACCATACCATTTTTTGGCAAAGTTGCTAAAAAATATCTGTGTTTAGTTTGTTGCCAAATTTGGTAAATACATTAGTATAAATATATCTACATGCAACTTGGTTGAGTTCGTATAATGAGGTTCTCAACCTTCACTCCCTTGTTTTCTACGCGCACGCTTCCTAACCTGCTAAATGGTGTGTTTTTTATAAAAAAAATTCTATAGGAAAGTTGCTTTTTAAAAAATCATATTAATCTACTTTTTAAAAAAGTTTTGGCTCTATGTAAATCTCACATGCTACTCTAGATAAGCATAACTGCTTGTAGAATCGTCATGCAACAAGGTTTGCTTCTAATGTATATTCTAGTTCAAATCTAACACTAGAAATGATGTAAGAGATAGTACATGTATGCAAACAGAATATAAAAGCGCAACACCAGTTACCTTGGAAGGTTGGTGGTAAGCTACCCAAAGTAAATGTTTCAAACTTAATATAGTCTATTTTATACTTCTCTTTGTTCTTTGCAATGATTGGATTTGCAACATCCTGTGCAATTCTGCAGATAGCCTACAGGTTGAACACAAAGTTAGTCCTATTGTCAACCAGAAACAATCTACAGCAGAAGAGTACCTTGTTGAGGTAAGGCCACATCAACTCCAAAAACCTGTTCAGCCAATCAAGCTAACAACAAAGCGGAGAAAAATAAGGATATCAGAATAGTTACAGTTACTATTATTCAAGTGCATGAGTTTTCTTCAGCAAACAGTTAATAGCTTAAAAGAACGAAGCATACTCTATCATAGTCAGGATTCTTGAGCCACAAAGGAATTTCAGGAAGGGTGTCATCCAAAGAATCTGAGTCATATTCCACCAGTGGGCGAACTTTGACATTCTGAGAGGTAGTCAGGATAATAAAAAACCATGTGATTCATAAAACATATTAAATTAGTAGCAATAGTATTTGCAATGATGTCCCATTTACATACTATGTGAAAGAACTATTTCATTAGAGATGCAACTAATCCAAGTGACAACACCAACTTGTGATACAAGTGTGATATCCAGAACCAGAATATAAGAATTGAATTAGGAATGTGATATGCAAAGAAGGAAATCAATCCTTGATGACTCAGTGACCCCAAGTGTTTCTTCTTAACAGCGCTTTCAGATTGTTCCCAGATTATTTTTGGTTAAATGAGTAGACATCTACTGACAGAGCAGTTATTAAATAACAAAAGTATCACCACATAGCAACAAAATGAAATGATACAATAACTACATAGCAAGAATGAGATAAACATGATCACCTTCACATCGGTTGGCTGGAAGTAGATGAAGAGGAAGTAACCGATAACAATACCAACTGAGAATCCAATGCAAAATCCAATGAAACTAAGCACCATGCTGACTATGCCCATCTCGGATTTCTTCTAAAACCTCCAAATATATACCATATTTCTATCAAAAGTTGCACAGACAAAGAACATAAGAAGATGAGGCTAAAAGGCATTACTCAAGTAAATTAATCGACCGATACACGTCACCCCAATAAATTATGAGGGTACAACCAGAATGAGCTAAACCCATAGAACTAGCTAGTCCCTCTTTTTTGTGCTAATATACTATTCAGATCATGAAAATATCCCCAACTTTTGCAAATAGATTTGAACTAATTATCCCGTTATCATGAAGCAATTTCCTACTCTACAAGCTGTAGGGAGCTAATGTGCCATCAATCAAGATTTTTTCCCCCACAGAATGAAAGAAATGCTTCATTCAAGTACACAACACAACACAAGTAAAAAATCCTCACAAAAAAAGAACAGGTAAAGAAATATGTTTAAAGTTTTAGAAAATATAGAAAACAAAGGCTAGCAAAGCGAATGCCGAATGGTTTGGCAAGACAAAGATGTAAGAGTTTATGAAGAGGACAATACTTGCAAATTTCGAACATAGCACACAGATTTCAGAATAGTATAGGGTGGCACCACTCAAGTTGCGATGTGCTATTTAAATAGCTAAGCGAGAATAGAAAAGAGGGTGTTTCGAATGGTGGAAGCAAAGAACCTCAATGGTGGCAACTTTGCGTGTTGTTTATTGCTTGATGGTCCACCTGATGCTTTAATCTTTGTTCATATAGGACAAAATTTCGAGATAGGACAGAATTTTCTTACAGGGTGGCAGAATTTGCTCTTGTTGGATTTGAAATCATCGTTTCAGATTAATTCGGTCCAATTAATTTACTCTCGTCAGATGTGATCACTCAAGAGCTCGATCAAAGATTACAAGATCAAGCAGTAGGCGATGGAACTGAGAGAAAGTTGATCTCAACACAGTGTAGACAACTAACAAAACATTACAGGACCAAACAGATGTTTAAGACATCTAAAAAAACATGTTTTGGAGCAAAGGAAATATATACAGGCCTTTTAACCACATTTATTGGCAAACTGTTTTGTGGCAACAGCCAACATTCGTACGTATCCTCCTGTACCTCGCATTGTTCAAGCATTCGCCTGTGTTGGTGCTTCCTCGCAGTTTCTATGAAGTTCTCCACTGCAACTCGATTTGAATCTGACCGGTTTTTGAGTCGATGAGATGGTACGTTTCATTAATCCGCTTATTACTGATCACGTCTGCGAGGTTTATATCAATGTAGCCTAAAGTTTCCTGAAAAAGGAAAAAAAAAACAAATGCATCAGTATAATATATTTTCAGTAGTCTTCAATTCCGTGCAGAATTCAAGCAAGTAAATCTTGAAAATGACTGTAATATTCCCAACCATATGAATATGCTCATTAAAGTTGATATTCCAAAACAAACCAATGCAGCAAGTTAACATTTATTCCGAGTAGAGGCAATGCTAGGTCAGAACGATAAAGGGCAGAAATTTCATGTAAAAAATTGTACCTTGCCATGTATCAACCATTTTTTGGGGGGTTTACTTAGGACTTCAACATGTAGTTTGTCATTTGCAGGGGGATCCTCACAAACAAACTCAATCTCCTCCTCCCATCGCGGATCCCTGTTTTTCTTGATCACCTGAAAGAGAAGAAGTTTGTGGAGGTTAAGGGGCATGAAATCATATCATTATCATTTTCAGTAGTGATATTGAAGCTCATAACATTCTGAAGATAAAATACCTTCGTTTTCTTCTCGTTTCCTTTGAAAATTATTCTTGCATATGGGTTAGTGTGATGCTTGCCTTCAAGATCTTGAGCTTCATGAACAACAACATAAAGCAGCCCACCACCAGCTGGAGTACCATCAGGAGCTTTCCCTACTACGTCTGTACCTTGGACATCTTTCTCTATATCGTCTTCCTTGAAAGGTTTATATGTCATCTCCAGAGTAATTTGACCACGAGACTTCTCATTATGTATGTCATTTGGATCCATGGTCTTAAGCAAGTTATAGGTTGTAACTTTAGTTTCCTCTGGGGGAAGTTCTTTCAACAGAATCTTGTTCATGCCCATCTTGTCGTGCTTTCCAACCTGGATATACAAAAAGAACTAAATCTGCAGTCTTTGGTAACATGGCACAAGAGAAGAATAGTAAAACAAAGCTATTCCATGCCTGTTCCCAGTCGAAGACTTTAATTTCCAGTTCTTGAGTTTCAGGATCTGTCACAACAAATTTGAAATCTTCGTTCCACTCTGGATTAAGATTACCGCGCTTCACTGTTGTTTTCTTGGATGGAAGCTTGTCATCTGACATTGTAAGTTTCACATATGGGTCTGATTTACCCAGCAGATCCTTCTTTTGCAGATTTTGAGCTCTTAAAACTTTCACAAGTAGAATACCGACAGGCCTTTTAGAAGCTCTGTAAATATATGGAAACTATTAGCAAGAGTCATTTAAAAAAAGAACAGTACATAAACCATAACAGAGTCAGTGATAAAAGATTTCACTTCGAGGGATCCATTATAGGCACTTCAAGTGTCTTTGGCCACAAATACATGCTCGCAACTTGCTTCTTGATGGTCTCCTGCAGATACACACACAAAAAAAGGTGGTCACAACATAAGTATTTTTACTGAATGGAGTCAGATAGATACCACACAACAAGTTCGTTAAGTGGCACAGTTACAACAGTGAGTGAGCTAGATACATCAGACCTAGGCTTAAGCCATCAAACTATTACTACACAGAAAAGTCTTTGCTTGAGGTACACAAGAATGCTCTGAAAAGGAGGAAGATGTAGTAACATATTACAAATTTGCTTCAGGATTCCCGGATCACCATGGCGGACTTTCATCTCTGTTCGACCAGTTGGTCTCACAGTGAACTACTAACATATTACCAGTTTGCTGTGCAATTTAAAAGCGTAGTTAGCAAAGCTTTTTTGGTGGTCAACTTGGCACCACATCTGGCTCACTGTTCAGTGGTCCAACCAGCGGTTAATGGTTAGGACGGTGGTGATGGTGGATCGAAAGTGTAAACAGAGTATGGTATTGCCTTATGAACTAAAGTAGAATAGTGTGGGATCACAGGCCCCATTGGTTTGGGGCACATCTCCATAAGGCTCAGGTTTGATTGTCACCCCAACACTGTTTTGGCAGAAGCTTGTCTCTCACGCCTGAACCTGCACGGTTTTCTTCTGTTTTCTCTGGAAACTGTCAGGTTCAATGGCTCAAGTGTGTGCATTGGTTTCTTGTGTTTTTTGGGTTTAACTGATGGTCTGATCTGGCATTGTATAACTATGCTTAAACAGAGTTGTAGTACTTTCATGATAGGGGTACTTAACCTATACCTATGCGGCTGTGTTTAGCAAGTTCAATGAACATTCCAATGGTATAAAAATATTTTCACATGACAAGATTCAAATTAGTAGTCAGGAATACCTGAACAAAACTGTAAAGAATAGGAATAGCCATTACATCTGCTCCAAGAAGTTTTAGCCCAAAATCGACATGTGGCTGCAAGACCAACATTAAAAATAGTTTTAAAAAAAGGAGTGGATCAACAGGGGCTGCTAATGACAAGTATTATATTGCCAAACCTTCTCCATGAGAGATACAAGGATTTTTGCAAAGCACGGGATTGTAGCCACCAAAGGTTTTAGAGTAATACGAGGTGAAGCAAAGACTTGTAGATCCACAACCTGAAATAGATCGTGAACAAATGAAGATTTCACATGGCTGAATTCTATATCCTAAAGTAAGCAACAATTCTATTTAAGCTCATCACAGAAAATTTTAAGACCTGGATAGTTGCTTTCAATCCATAAGCCTTTACGACAACAGTGACATTCGGATTTGCTGCCCACTTAAGAGATGGCTCCATTATCAACTCCTGCTCTTCTGTAACATATGCTTTCATTCCTGAGAAAGAAACCATGAGATTTTTTTACATGTTTGCAACATCTTGTAAAAACAGTAGACCCATAAAGAATAAATATGAAACAATTAATAGGACATTATTAGCTATACATGGGTATGGCGATGTATAGCGGCCATTAATTATGCATAAGCAATAACATGATGATGCACAACCCTATCACTAGCGACTGCAATGTCCAATTACTAGACATTACATAGCAGCTTAGCTGGAAGCAAGTAGCAGCAATGCATTCATAATATATATCTGCAGGCAGCTGTATTAAGGCCCAGAACTACTTCAGAAATCTAATCTAATATAGTGAAAGCTAAGAGCTTTCTTGCAAAAAGGGCCTACTCATGTTGGTGGCAAAACATGGGCCATCAATAAATACTGTTCGTCAGATTTCAAGAAGCAAGCAATCATAAAGGTCCTTCACAGAACTTCTATCAACATCTAGTAATGGAGTGATATGACTACCGGTGACGCACAAACTATACAAGATAAGCATAGCTGCTTGCAGAAATGTTGAAACATGATTTGTTTCAAATGAATATTCTAGTTCCAAGAGAACACCAAAAATAATGTAAAAGACTGAGCATGTGTGTAATAACATGAGAGTGCAACACAGCTTACCTTGAAAGGTTGGTGGTAAACTACCCAGAGTAAGTGTTTCAAACTCAATAGAATCTATTTTATATTTTTCTTTATTCTCTGCAATAATTGGATTTGCAATATCCTGTGCAGTTTTGCAGATAGCCTACAGGTTACACAACTTTTATCGTCAACCAGAAGTAATCTACAACTTAAGAGTATTAATTTTTATTGTCAACCAGAAGTAATCTTCAACATAAGCGTACCTTGTTGAGGTAAGGCCACATCATCTCCAGAAATCTGCTCACCCAATCAATCTAGCAACAGAGAGGACAAAAAAAAAAGGGCATTAAAAGTACTGCAATTACTATTGATCGAGTCCATGAGGTTTCTTCACCAAGTAGTTGAAAACTTAAAAGATATAGAAGCATACTCTATCACAGTCAGGATTCTTGACCCACAAAGGAATTTCATGAAGGATGCCATCCAAAGAATTTGAGTCATATTCCACCAGTGGGCAAACTTTGACGTCCTGAAAGGAAATCAGGGGATACATTAGTGTAACAGTATTCACAATTATGTTTCATGTATATCCTGCATGAGAGAACCCTTTCTTGGAGATGCAACTAGTCCAAGTGACACCGCATGGGAGAACACAAAAAACGTGTTACCCAGTACCCAGATATATGCATATATAAATCTTAAATAAGTATCAAACATCAGATGAAAGAACATTACAAACCCACCAAAAAACAGAAGGATACTCATACCACACAGATCTAATGTAAATAATGTGTGGCCAATAAGAAATGAAGAAGGTTCTGATATGAAAAAAAAATTGAATCAGCTCTTGACGAGTTTATGACCAAAGTGTTTCTTCTTAACAACAACCTCAGACTGTTCCCAAACTATTTTGGTTAAATGATTAGAGATCTATTGACAGAGCAGTTACCACATAACACAAGTATTCGCTACACGGCAACAAAATGAAATGGCATACAGTAATAAATAAAGAGGAAGATCAAACAAGCATATGCCCACCTTCACCTCGGTTGGCTGGAAGTAGATGAAGAGGAAGTACCCAATAACAATACCAGCTGAGAATCCAAAACAAAACCCAGAGAAATCAATCAACATGCTGACTATGCCCATCTCAGATTCCTACACCAGCTTTCTACCAGAACTCTCATAGCCAAGCACATAAGAAGATGAAACAAAAAGGCATTACTCAGATAAGTTAATCAACCGAACCACGTCACCCTGCTAAATTACAAGGGGACAACCTGAGTAAGCTAACCTACTAGAACTAGCTAGTACCTCCCCTTTTTTTTCTGCAAGTATCCTATTCAGAGCATGACAATGCCCTAACATCTGCAAACAGGTATTAAACTAATTCCGCCGATCATCATGAAGCAATTCCCCACTTTAGAAACTGTAGGGGGTCCATCTATCAAGACTTTCCCCCACGGCACGAATGTAATGCTTCAGACACGTAGACACAAAGAAACAAGCAAACAAACATGCTTAAAGTTTCAGAAAATACAGTGAAAACGACACTAAAGGAACTGTGAGAACAAAGCTTAGCAATGCCCTAATGGCTTGGCAACACGAAGATGCAAGAGCTTCTGGAGAGGAGAATACATGTAACATTCGAAATGGCCACACGGAATTCAGAAGAATGTAATATAGGGTGGTCATCAGTCAAGTTGTAATGTGCTAACTACGAATACTTTGGTTGGTGGTCCGGTTGGTTCTTTTTTATGTGGGTTTCAGAATGGATTAATTCTGTCCCTGTAAACTGAAATAGAGTATTGCTATTAGATATTTCAATATCATCGTTTCGGATTAACTCGGTCCAATCAAATCTACTCACAATGCCCGATTAAACCAACAAGATTGATCAATAGATGCCGGAACAAAGCCATCAGCAAAGCACAGATGCGATTCCTCGATCGCGAGATCGATCAAAAACGATTGCAAGATCGAGTAGCAGATGGGCGATGAGTTTGAAACCGAGTGGATTTACCTCCGTCTCGAATCGGCCGCCGATGGCGTGGTGTCCGTGGGATTCATCTCTTGCCGACGGGAAACCGAAACCGGGGATGCGGCGGGGAAAAGAAAGGCGCCGGCGAGGAGAGGGTGGTCCGTACGCCGTCGGCGGATGGCGCTCTCAGCGAGCGAGGGCCAGCGACGGCGGGCCATATGCACGGGGCGCCGACGCGGCGGCAAGTCGAGACGAGAGGGAGGGAGGAACGCCGCCACTACGCCATGCGCGACAGCGCGAGGTCGCACTCCAGACAATCAGACTTCAGAAGATGAACACAGGGGACTGCTTGGTGTTGGTACCATAGTACTTTTCTCCGTCTTAAAATATTACTATTTATTATATGGTTTTAATTAAGATATGGATTTTATCTTGGTTTTTATTAGTATCTTTCTAAATTGTTAAATGATATATTTCAAACCTATTTGATAGAGCATCAACTCCTAAATTTAGCTCTAAAAGTTAGGTCTGGAGTTGAGTTGTGGAGTAGTCTAAACCCAACTCCACGTCTCTATAGTTCATTATGAGAAAGTGCTTCACCTAGCTCCGCTCCTATTTTAGGTGGAGATGAAACTGTTTAGTTGAGCTTTAAGTCCAGGACAATGGAGCTGGAGCTGTGCCAAACAGGCCCTTCGTGCGAAAACTTTATATATATAAGTTATTGTAAAAATTAGATAAACCATTTTTAAGTTTAAAATAATTAGAACTCAATTGATTATATGCCAATGACTTTTTGTTTTATGTGTTCGTACTTGATCTACGCCAACTTCAAATTCAAACGCTTTTAGAGGTACAGATCTAGCCAAATTCAAAGAAAAATAACTAGTTGGAGGCTTGGAGTTCCAGTCATCGTCATGATAAAATAGTAGTATTGTGTTTGTTCTTTTTTAATGATGTTTAGGGCACTGAAACAATCTCCACTGTATATATTTAATCATTATTTTTCCAAAAAATATAGTCATCAAAATGATTTAGAGTACTAATATATGATACTATATTTTCATGAAAAATTTGCTTATGCCATTTTCACATTGAATCCTAATGTTTCCTTTTATTTGTTAGTATGTTATGTTTTAGAGGTTTGAAACTTTGAATGGTATAAAATGTCATCAATTTGCAAACGGGGGGAGGATTAAAACCATAATATTCATGAAGTATTCTTCACAAATATGCGAGGTGGTGGCTAGCCTAGGGAAGAATAGCCCATCCGGATCATCGTAGGAATGGACAATATCAGAAATTCAGAAGTGAAGAGAGCAAAGTACTGCTTATAGCATGTGCATCTGCACAAGAGAGATCTAAATAAAGTAGCTTGTGTGCATCAGGAGCTTAGGATTTCCTGAGCTATTGAACTACTAGGAGAGTAATCCCTTGTTAGGGTGCGTTCGTTTCTGGCGGTTGGGAACTCATTCCTTCCGCACGGAAAACAGAGCGATCCATTATCGTGTGCTTAATTAAGTTTTAGCTATTTTTTTAAAAAATAGATCAATATGATTTTTTAAGCAACTTTTGTATAGAAACTTTTTTAAAAAAAACACACCGTTTAGGGGTTTGAAAAGCGTGCACGCGGAAATCGAGAGGGAAAAGTTGGTAACACTATCTTGCGAACACACGCGACATTGATATAAATCTCTCTCTGCCCTTAAAAATTACTGTCTGTGGCATTTTTTTTAAAAAAAGCCCATGAAACATCTTAGAGAAATATGAAATGCATGGAAAAAAGTACCGGTTGAAACATTTTGCTATTGTGCATAAAACATTGAATTTCAACATGTGAAACATATAAATTTCTTTTATCAAAATATAATCATTTGTAAAATTTTAGTTGCAACGAATACAATGGTGTAGTATGATTGTAGATGAGATAAATAATATAGGAGGAAAAATTGTTTAAAACTTTAAAGCAGAGACTTGAGAGATAGAGTCATGTACATACAAAGCGGACGTACGGTTCTTTTTTATTGGAGTTTTATAGGATGAATATCATTGTCAGCCCATTTATTTTTTCTCGCATATTTTTTTAGACAATGACATGTGAGGTCATAGATACATGTTACTGGGTGAAATCCCGCGCGTTGTTGCCAAAGTTTCGTAAGATAGCTAGACGACATAGCTTAAATAAATTGAAATGGTTTATGATAATTTAAAAAGTATATGGAATGATGATTCAAATGTAAAAGCAAGGTGATATAGCTTTATAAGAGAAGAAAAGGAAGGAGATAATTTGGTCCATAGATTAATCATCTAAGAACTTAAAAAACAATTGATGTGATATGTTTAATGAGAGAATAAAGAAATAATATTAACTAAATGAGGATGAAATACGTCAAGAGAAGAGCCCTATGCGCGGGGGCGTTGTCCTAGGCACTTGAGAGCTGGGTTGGGTTGGGCTGGGCCATGCCTTTGCACTCTATTATTACTCCGTCTTTCCCAAATCGATCATCATGTAATAGAATCCAAAATTTCTCAAATTATCGTCATATAATTGCATGGACACAGATTTCATCAGAATACAATTAATACATTATGGGAGAATGTGTGCATGATAGGGTGTAATTGGCATGGGTTTTAATCGATGCATGCATTGTGGGAGAATGTGTGCATGATGTCTTGATTGATGTGATTTAAATTGTATTTGGTTTTAGTTTCTAAACTTATATGATGATCAATGTGGGAAGGAGCGAGTACATGCCTAAAATACGAGAGCGAAATTGATATAATGGTGGACTTGCAGAGACAAATAATGATCTAACAGGCAAGGTAATCTTGATGGTGTGGCCTCATAGAATTTGAGCTTTATAACAATGAATGACTATTAGTGAGTCACAATTTTATAGTAAGGAGGGATTAATAACATCATGAAAATATGAATTAGCTGATTTTTTTTAATCGCAAACAAGGAATTGTGGTTTGCAACTCCTATATAATTTTTCCACCCTACCGATCCTAAATGGATCACAATCACATACTCCTATACCGCAACCCGTTTTGAGCCACCGGCCCACCCCACCCCCCCTACGCACAAAACACCGGGACGCGAAGCGGAAAACGAGCGAGCGAGCGGGGCTCTCCAGTCTCCACCCCGACTCTTCGTGTCCGCTGCGAAAAAAAGGTTAGAACACCACCCCCCCTCCTCTCCCTGATCCCCCTCGCCTCCCCCCTTTCCCCCCCTCTCTTTGCTCCTCTCCGCCGCAGCAATCCGCCCCTCGATTCGACCAGATCGGCGCGAGTAAGTCCCCGCTACATCCCGATCTGGATCCGCCCCCGACCTCCGCGTGATTTCCCTCTCCGTGGCGGTGTTTTGGTCGGGTACGTAGATCCGACGCGTGGTGGGGCGGGGGGGTTGTATTGTTTGGGTAAATTCTGGTGCGCGACGGCGGGGGGGAATTCGGGTTGGTTTCTGACCGAATTTTGATGCCTGTTTGTTCGATCCATTTGTTGTGCAGTGTCGATCTATCGTGTGATGTGATTTTTTTCCCCCTGGTCGGTGTGTGTCTTAGTTCGAGTTATTCGGATGTCGATGGGAGATGCTCATGTTTTACTTGTTTTGTCTGTGCTGACCGATAGATTCGTTAATCGTTGTGATTGATGTCGGATATGTTTGCCACCATTGTTGATGTGGTTTAGGCGCAGTAGTTGTCGTTTGATTCCTAACAGATCATTTTACGTATTTGGGAGCAATGCGAATTTATCAAGAATTTGATAACCGCGTTAGTATGTAATCAACGGCTTGTATGCTGGTATGCAGTAGTATTTTATGAACTTGTGAAATTATAGTTGCATGTGTTGGTATAGTGGAGTAGATACGTGAGAATTTACTACTTTGTCTTACATTAGCTTACGGCATTTATTTTGACTATGGAGGTTAGGACCATGGACCCATATAACCTTTGTTTATCTTTCTGGTTTACAAGAGAAAGGTCAAGTTTGTATGGATATTAGTGGGTCCATAGGTTTGTAATTTTAGGATAATTTACTCTGAATGTGTTGATAGCGAAGTTGCTTATGTGGTGAGCTTAATGCTTTTGACTTTTGTTAAAAACAAGTCCCACTGCGTTGCTTTATATCTACTTATATCCGATTCCATGTTATGTAAGGATGGATCGAAACATGTTTAAAACTGTAGAACTAATAATATATATTTCATTCTCTTAAGTATGCTAATGCAATTTAAGCAGGAGCTTATCATGGCGTCGAAGCGGATCCTCAAGGAACTAAAGGACCTGCAGAAAGATCCTCCAACATCATGCAGTGCAGGTATGACCCAGATTTATCAGCCGAACTATAGCTGTTAGACACAGTGTAAACTTGAGCGTTGATATGATAATTGTACTCTGTGGGTGGTAGTCCTCATGTTCTTGTCGGATGGAATTGTACGAACTGTTTGTATCCTTTAGTAGTGAAATCATCCAATGGTGTGGTTATCCGTAAATTAATTTTGATGAATATATTTTGGGTGGTGAGTTGTTTGTCAGATTGTATTCCATGTTGTTCAATTGGTCCACATTGAAAGTGGACTATCGGTGTCCTACATGTAAACAATTTCACCCAGTATTCTTGCTACAAGAAAATGCATAATTCTGTCAGTTGTTGTCATGATGATGCCCTTGTGTTTTCATCTAGACAGCTGTGATGTTTATAATTTTGAAGAAACGCTTCTAAGACAGAGCATCCTAATGTATTTACATTTTATATTGAAAATCTTGATGAAATATGGACAATTATTAACCAGTGCAATTGATCATCTATTCTCATGTAAACAATGAATTGTTTTGGTCAGTTTGGTCTTGCGTACCTTTTTGCCCTTTGCTTGTACAAGCTCTGGTGTTGATGAACTATAGATTTTTATAAATTTAGGTCCTGCTGGTGAGGATATGTTCCATTGGCAGGCAACCATTATGGGCCCTCCAGATAGTCCCTATGCTGGTGGTGTTTTCTTGGTGAATATTCATTTCCCCCCGGACTACCCCTTCAAACCTCCAAAGGTTAGCAGCGAGCCTTATTCTGGGGCAAAATTTTCCAATATTTGCCACTTCTATTGAAGATGAATCATGTGGCTATTGTTCCCTCTCCCTATCTCATGGATGGATTGCTACTACTTTTAATGGATCTTTATTTCACAATCATTTACTGTCTTCACTCAGTATCATAATTCATAAATGATCTACAATATTAGTGAATCTTTAGCTCAATAGATTGGTTCACTAAGTCTACTGTCTACCTAGTGGTGGATTCCTTCTGCTATGCATTAAGTTAGCTCCTTTTTTTCAGGTGTCTTTTAAGACAAAGGTCTTCCATCCAAACATCAATAGCAATGGAAGCATATGCCTCGACATTCTTAAGGAACAGTGGAGCCCTGCTTTGACAATATCTAAGGTGCTTTGATGAAACTTCACTAAACTTCACTACCTATAGGAAAGCACATTGAATTCCGCATGCACGCTTCCCAAAATACTAAATGGTGTATTTTTTGCAAAAATTTTCTATAGGAAAGTTGCTTTAAAAAATCATATTAATCCATTTTTGAAATTTAAAATAGTTAATACTCAATTAATCATACGCTAATGACTTATCTCGTTTTGCGTATCTTCCCAATCTCCTCAATCCCCTTCTCCTCAAACTCGCCCTAAATGAATGCATATTTTCCTTCTTTATGAACTTTGGCGAATTGCATTGATTCATCTCATACACAATCTAGATAACAAGAGAGTGCGCTGTCTGTTCAAAGTGACTGCATATGTGGCGCTAACATTTGGGTTTGTTTGTTTTAGGTCTTGCTTTCGATCTGCTCGCTGCTCACTGACCCCAACCCGGACGACCCTCTTGTCCCTGAGATTGCCCACATGTACAAGACGGACCGTCCAAAGTATGAGACGACAGCCCGCAGCTGGACCCAGAAGTATGCCATGGGATGAAACCCCAAGTCCTGAATTCGAATCCACTGCTTAAATGCAGACAAATTTGTCCCAAGAAACTGTTTATGGGCCATTATTTTCTCCGATTCCTTGCCAGTCGTGTTGTGTCAGATCCATCTAGGATCGTGTCTCGTAGCCCCGACATCAACATATGATCATCGTCCGTCGATAATGAGATAACATATGCTTGCCCGTGATAATTATGATATGGTGGTGGTGATGTTATTTCTGTCATGCGCACACAATATGGCGCCTAGTGCCTTTTTCTTACCTGGGGTTCCTCGTATTCCAATGGTGGAGTGGAGGTTGAGTAGCTCATGCGAGGAAGCTGCCTGCACGGAGGAGCTTGTTGATGTAACGTTAGGGCATTTACAATGCTCCTAGGTGGCGTTCAGCCTCAAAGGAAGCAATGCCATTTTCAGTGCCATGTCATCTATGTGTGTAGCCAAGCGAGGACCGAGTGACCAAAGTTGGTCACCCGTTCTTGGCTGAAAAGCCTGTCAAATGCAGAGGAGAGGAGAGGAGAGAGAGAGAGCGTGTTGGGAATAAAAATCACAGGAGAGAGAGAGCCGCCGCCGCCCGACGCCGGCGCCGCTCCAAGTCGTCCGCTCGTCGGCGCCGAGATCCGCCCGGCCGCCTCTCCGCCGGGTGCCACGCCGTGGTGGAAGGCTGCCTCTCCGTCCCGCCGCTCGACCGCCCCCTGCCTCTCCGCCCGGCGTCGTGGCCCCTCGTGCCGCCGGCGAAGTCGCCGCGGGATCTGCCTCACCGCCCGGGCTGCCCCGCCGGCCGCCGCCACTGCTCGACCACCCCGCCCGCCGCCACCGCTCACGACGCGGAGGCCGGATCCGAGCGTCGGCGCGCCGGCCGCCTCTCCGCCTGGCCGGCTGTGCTCCGCCGCCAGCCACCGCCGCTCGACCCCGCCATCGCCGCTCAGAGAGCTCACTAGTACCACTTGTTGAGAGACAGAGTAGTTGTCACACCCTGAAAATTCAAAATATATAAATTGTTGTTTAATTGGAATTTCTAGAATTTATTTTAAAAGTCTTGAAGAGAAGATCTAAGTTTAATTAATAAATTCCAATATAAAATGGGGCCAGATAAAATTTCATTAAATACTTTGCTTAATTCTATAATTCCTAGATTTTTCTGGGATTTATTTGAGCTAAGAAAGTATTTTTAATAAATGGAATTGCATTTAAGAAATAATTTAAATTGAAAAAGGTTTTAAAAAGTCTTCTTTTGGCTTTGGGCCGAAAGTCGGCCCAAAACCCTTCTCTCTCTCCTCGGCCCAGCCGGCCCAGTCCGCAGCCGCGCGCGCGCGCGTTCGGTCGCTGACAGGTGGGTCCCACCTGTCGGGATCGTCGTCCTCCTCCGGCCGAAACCCTAGTTTCGTCGCCGCCGCCGCCGCTTTCCAATCCGGCCGCTCCTTTCCTTCTCCGGCCGAATCAAAAGAGGGGAAATGATCCTCGGGATCTCCTCTACCTTTTCTCCTTTGGAAACTTCGGCTAAATCGGTTTGGAATGAGTTTGATTCGAGTTCGAATCGGATCGGCTTTCCTCTCTCCAAGCCCGAGCTTTCCTTTGCCGTTGCCGCAGCCGTGGGCCTTTGCCGCCGCCTCCGAGCCCCTTTAAAAGGCTCCCCGGTGTCTCCTCTACCCGTCGCCACCTTCGCCTTCGCCTCTCGTCGTCGGAAGAGCCCTAGCGCTGTGTGCCCTAGCTTCGCCGTCGCCGCCGTCGCTCCAGCCGTGCGCCGCCGTCGCTCCAGCCGTCGCCGTCGCTCGGGAAGACCGCCGTCGTGGTCGCCAAGTCGCCGCCGTCCTCGTCCGCCTCTTCGCTGCCGTCGGAGATCGCCGGAGCTTCATCGCCGTCGACAACCCGAAGGTTTCCGCCGTTTCCTCCTCGTCGCCGTCGTCGTTCGTTGTTCCTCCGCCGTCGCTTTGGTCGCCGGTGAGTTCGCCGTGCCGTCCGCTACCCGTTGGTGCCTTCCATTCGCGCCGCCGTGCCGTCGTTCGCCGGCGAGCATGCAAGCCCGAGCCGCCGAGCCGCCGCCGCCAGTGGTGACGTCATCGCTGACGTCATCGGGGCCGTTCGCTGTGAGCCGGTCGTGGACCGATCGATCTTGGCCGTCCGATTTGGATGGGTTGATCTCGGCCGTCCGTTCGCGTGAACCGTCGCCCGTGCACCCGGTCCACCGAAACCCTAGCCCGCTGACGCAATAATCCTCCTTTTCCTTTTCAAAAATAATTCATTATTGCGTCATAATTCAATTTAAACCGATTTAAGTGTTTTAATCCGATTTAATCTTCAAAAATTCATAACTAATTCATCTTAGCTCCGATTTAGTTGGTTCAAGTCTCTAAATTTTTCTAAAATTGAGATCTACACATTAAAAATATCCACATGTACTGTTCATGCTTGTTTATGTGCTGTTTTGGTGATTTTGCTTCTTTTTGTTTAGATTCCGTCGTTTCCGGAGAGTCCGTTTTCGCCGGAGAAGAGTTTGAAGAGTTCCAAGGCCAGCAAGGCAAGTCACACAGATCCCAAACAACCCTTTGAGCATGTTGATCCTATTTAAAGCTATTGTTTCTTTTCAACTATTGCATTTATTTTCGAATGTCATTGGGTGGAATTAACCTATTGTTTGTTATAGCCCTTTTGTTCTTGTTTACCTTATTCCTTGATACCTTGGGTTATTATAATTTGACTAGTTGAGCTTTATTTATATTGGTTCAACTAGATATTAGAAATAATTGCTTAGCCCTGCTTAGAAACATTAGCACACTTATGGGATAACTAATGACTCACTATTATTTCATGATGGCTTATTGATAGTTCACGATGGTCAATCGTGATTAGTTAATTAATTAATGTGCCAACTAAAACCTGATAATGGTGGGTTATGAGCACATGATTTTGATGGTCGTGCTCATGACAATTAAGGACCGGTTCACGAGTTTCGGTTGTGAAACATTAATCGTGCCAACCACAAGCCAGCATGGGCAACGGCTTTATCTTTTGTATAGCATAGTTCATTGCGGGGCACCAGACTGAGAAGTGGCGGAGATAAGCCCACGGGGGTCGCTGGGGAGTCCATGCCTTGTTTATAAGGGGGTGATTATGATCCAGGAAGGTGTGCTGCAGTGGATTATGTTGTATGAGGGATACTGTCACAACTCCTTTCCGAGGTACCGTGGTGGTATTGAGGCACATGGTGACATGATGTGGGGTTGTGTCTTGTGGGTACAGTGGTACACCTCTGATCAGAGTAAAACTATTCGAATAGCCGTGCCCGCGGTTATGGGCGGGTCTAACAATGTCTTTCGTGATTAGTCTCACCCTTCTCACCATAATAAATGATGCTATAACTGGTAATAATGTGATTAGCTCCTGGTTTGGAATGGTATATTCCTGGTTTGGAGATAGAACTGTGCAGCCGGGGTGGTTGTTCAGAATGGTTGGGCCTATACAACAGGGTATGTTGTATAGCGTTGGATTAATATTGTTTAATACTTAACTGTTTTACTAAATTCTCAAATGTTTGCTAAATGCTGCTTTTGCAAATGAAACCCTATTATGCCATCCTTTGTTATCCTGTGCACTTGCATATTTGCTGCGTGGCTTGCTGAGTATGTCATATACTCACCTTGCAATCATTCATCAGAGGAAGAGTTCTACAATGAGGCTGATGGTGTGGAGGATTAGGTGTAGCCTTGGTCAAGCTGCCTGTGGAGTGGAGCCGTCTGCGCCGTTTATCTTATTTTCCGCTGCTTAGATTTTTATTGTTTGAGAGGAACTATCTACCTCTGTAATGACATTTTATACGCTTATTAATTAGAGTAATAATTGTACTCTATTATCAATTTGTTATTGTGTGCCTCGGCTGATTCCTGGACGAGGGTTCACACACATGTAAGCGTTTGGAATTTTGGATAGAAATTCCGGGCGTGACAAGTTGGTATCAGAGCTCCCTTGACCCTAGGTTATGCCAAATGGTTACCCATAGAAGCCTTCTAAAAATATTGGAAAAGTAGAACTGTTCTCCTCCCTTTCTCTTTTAATTAAACCAAACTAATGGCACATGCACTTCATAAATCTCTTTTAATGGTTCTCATTCAAAATTTATTCCAGTGTTATTAGTACTGTACATCTATTACTGTACTAATGGCTTATTTATCAGCAAAAGTTTTACAATGTTGTTTTATTTAATCTTGTTGCAATAAAATAAATTTAGCATGACGATTTTATAACTTGATTTTATTTCTTTTGGAACCTGTTATTCAAAAGTACAAAACTTGTGACCTTGTTTTCAACTATTTCAACTCATCTTGCAAGCTTGGTTTACTTTATTTACTTACTTTTTATCTTGATTTTCTAACTTTATTCAAATTAATCCAAAAACTTGTGCTGTTAATTGGATAGATGTCTTAACTCCCTCCTTTCACTTGTCTTTAGATGCCGCGCTACAAGCCTGAGTACTTGTTTGGTGTTGAGGGTTTTGTCCAGGAGTTGCGTACGATGTCCTTTGTCATTGGATTTGGGAATGCCCCTTTTTATACCCAGATTCCTCATTATCGTCATGAAGAGAAGTGCCGAGTCAAAGTCACCTTGAACAGCAATAGTGAAGAGGTCCCCTCAGTGATGTTCGAAGCTGGAGGAAGAAATTACATCCATGCATGTCAGGAGGTGGCAAGGATCGCCATAGGAGAGCTCCGTGATCGCTACAGTGATCAGTTGGCCGACACTGAGTATCGCTACCATCCTCGTCAACCTCAGGGAAGTGACCGTGGCAGCTACCTTGAGACTGAAGGAATTGAGAATGATGCTACCACAAGGCATTTGGTTGAGATGCTGTGGGCTATGGATGAAAGTCGTGCGGAGACTGTGTTAGCGGCTCAAGATCGTGAAGACCGGAATCGTGGTAAGATTTGCAAGTTAGAAGACAAGGTGGATCGTTTGGAGAAGGAATTAGCTGCGTTGAAGGGAGAAGCACCGCCGCAGAAGGCCAGGGTTCGTCTCACCGCAAGGAAGAGAGCTCTATTTGTCCCTCGCTATCAATTGGCGCCAAAGGTTCGTGTGGTGGAAAAAGAAGTTGCCCCAACCCTAGCAGATCCTCCGGTCATCATCATAAGTGATGATGAAGAAGAAGGATCCAAGCGCACCCGTTCCAAGATTGAGTGGGTAGCAACTCAAGATGATGAAGACGAGCCGAATGAGCCTTCAATCGACCTCC